GACATGAAGAAGAAAATTTATTGCCCCCAAAGAATAATTGCAGTTGTTTAACAAATCCAACCATGTAGAAATTGACAGAGAAGGACAAAAGAGACAATGCTTTAAAAATAATATTGAAGGCAGCTGTTAAGAAATGCAGAAAATGTGGGAGAAGGCACTCAATAAACATTTAAAAAATTAAACTAAATTTGAACCCTGCCTAGCTCCCATTCTGGAGAGGTATCTAAATAAATGAACTAGTGAATGTATGAATGAAAATTATCTGGCCTAGGGTGCCCCTTTTGCTAGGGTTGTTCTTTGGTTCTTGGAGCTAATGCAGCGTCAAGGTGTTGGAGACGGAGGACACCTGTCTTATCTTTAATCATCATCCACACACATTATCATTCAAGAGGTCCATTATCCCTATCTGCATCATGTGTTCTAGGGCCAGAAGCTGTGCTGTGTTCCTACCATGTCAGGGTATGTTTTCTGCCAATGCTGGCTGGGATGCTGTTTGCCTCTATGCATCCCTCTATTGTCCTCTCTGTTCTTGTTTCCCTGAAGGTGCTGCTCAGCAGAACATTGGTCCGACCTGATCTTTGCACTCAAAGATCCTTTATCATTTCTCCTCCCTGCAGCCTGAAGCATCCTGTTTTTCTAATTTGAGGAAAGGCTTCTGTAATCATGTAGTTCCAAGACACTCTATGACCATAACATCCATTTTTCCCTCTCCCCTGCAAACTTACATTCTTAATTATCTGCCTATGGAAAAGAAAAGCCAAGAAGCTCTGCAGGCAATCTTATGCTTTCCTGGTGCTATATTAATATTTCTCCTAAAGTAATGAGCATGAGGTTGGCCATCTGTTTGAATATAGAGAATGTAAAGGGGAAAATGTCCCATAGGTTAATTGTCGTATCTCTCCCCACTCAGAGTTCAAAGCCAGTCAAGAAATAGGCCAGACATCAGAGATAGAATTTGTGTATCCGACAAATGTTTTTAAACATTATGCTCTCCCAGCATTGCTCTAGGTACTAAGAATACAGCAGTGCCTGAAGCAGACAAAATAGCAATCTATTATTTGCAAAGATGCATTCTAAAACTTGGCCTAGTCTGAGGCCAAAATGAATTCCCATTCCTTCCCCAGCAAATTGAATTTATCCATTTAATCACAGACTGAGTGGCTAGAAAACTAGAGCCACCTCCTCCAACCAGCCAGTCTGGTTCCTTTCCCACAGTGAGCATACTGGATGGAGGATTTGGGAAGGGAGAAAGGAAGGCGAACACCCTGCAAGCTGGCAGTTCTGAAAGAGGAAGGGCCCAAGTGGGGCTGAAGCACACATATGGAGTAACCCCTTCCTCCAGTCTCACCAGTCAGCTAATTGAGAAGTGGAAGGCAGAAACCTTCTTTCACATGCTTCCTGCAGGGAGACAGTTTCTATTTCATGAGTGGAGGCAGAAGAATGAAGAGAAGGAAAGTCATTTCCTTTGCACTTAATATTGCAGCTTTTTATCCAGACCCTGAATTATTCTTGAATTTTGAGTATGATGTAGGTAAATGTCATATATCTATGAAATCATATGCTAACTCCTTTATTTAGATCTTTTTTAAATGCCAAGTGTCTTTATTACCAATTAAGAAGGTTGAATTATACAAGGACCTTCTATTTCCATTAATCCAAGCATCCATTAAAAATTATCATCAGTTTTGCACTAAATATGTTGCAGGAGTGACTTCAAATTTGTTTTTCCACATTTATTTTCTTCATATGGGATACATAAATGACATTTATAAAGGGGCTGAATTCTAGCCGATTAAAGTTTCACCTTTATGTTTATACACAGAGTATTAAATTCGAGCCTGACTCCTTAAATCCTTGATGTGCTAGTTCTCAGCCTCTTTACCCTCATTCCTTGCACTTCGTTGCTCTGTTTTGTATTGTTTCTCAGGCCTCCATGTTAGCAGGGTCCAGCCAATACAAGGCAGACTGAAGGCTGGGGGACAGAAGCCAGGGTATTTCTACCTCAGGCTGCATCTCCAATAGTGGCTATGGCTCTGCTGTGGCACCAGCCACTCCAGATAGGCCCACAATGACTCCAACTTCTGCCAAATGTCCAGGTCATAGGCTCCAGAAGTCCATTTGCTCCTATTGTCCCCACAACCTAAGGATGGTTCTGGCCTCTGCCTCTTTCTAATCTCTGGGCCGCTTCACAGAATCCCCAATTGGCTGTTCAGCTATATTACTTGTGCAATCAATTCCTTGTATTAATTTCATTATTAAAGTTGAGGAAGTGTTCTTGTATTCTCACTCCAAGGGTGGCAAGCAGGGGCAGGAAGCTGAAACTTGCCTTGGAAAATACCTGAATAAGTATTGGTGCTAGGCCCAGTTCAGCAGCATCGAACTAGATGAACAGGGGAAAAGGAAAACCTAGGCCTGGGTCATTCTCAGGCACTCACTTCAACTCTAAGAGCAATGACACGACTCCTGTCCATGGTTCTATCTATGGTTGTATCTGACTGCATCTGATGGACACACATAAAAATGACTGCAATAACACCTGCCTTTTGATCATTTCAGAATCCAACAGGGAACGCTTTAAGAGTCCTAGACAAACTGCAAAGTGTAGTATAGCAGGAAACACATGGGTCATACCTGAGTTCAGTCCTGAGAGATCAGCACGATAATTAACTTATCTGAACCTCAGTTAATCTGTTAAGTATCTGGAGTTCAATCATCTCTACATAGGACGGTTGTGAAAATTAAGGAAGGTACATACAAAAGCATTCCATAAAGTGCTATGCAGATGTTAGCTAATTAGTCTTCTATAACAGCTTAACTTAATGCTTTTTTCCCATTAATACTTTTAAGCTTCATTGTTTCAGTTTTAAAATTCTGAAATCACTTCAAAGTTGCAAAAATAGTGCAAAGAATTCTCATATACTCCCCACTTGGACTCTCCAAAATATATCATATGCAATTATAGCATAATTTCAAATTATCAGAAAACATTGATACATTGCATATATATTATATAAACTAAATACTGTAATCAAACTTCACTAATTACCCCACTTATGTTCAATTTCTGGGCCAAGATCAGATGCCACAGTTAGTTTTCACAATACAGTTTTAGTTGTTTCCTTTATCTGAGAGTTACTCAGTCTTGCTCTTTCATGATCTTCGTAATTTTGAAGCCACTTACTGTGCAGGATATCCCTCAATTTTGGTTTGGCTGTTTTCTCAAGGTTAATACTAACATTTTTATGATTTGTTTATTCATGCCAGCAGGGGTGGTATAAGAATAGAAATATAGTGTCCTAATTAAGTTCACAGACTCTATCGGAATACCTGGGTTCAAACTCTCGCTCCACCAGACCGTGTAACTTTGAGTAGTTTTGGGACTCAGTGTCTTCATCTGTCAGATAAAGAAACATCAGTAACTATCTCTTCGGGTTATTGGAATTACTAAAGGAATAAATATGTGTAAAGTGCTTAGAATAGTTCCTGGCACATATTAAATGCTATTTAAGTGTTAGCTGATGTGAGGAGTTGGGTTTTGCCAACTGACGAAGAGACCAAAGCAGCAACAGGTATTTTAGTTATGTACATCCTTTGCTCAACCCTGCCCAAACAGCCAAGGCCAAAGACTCAATGCCAGCAGGAATTCTGGCCTAGCATGAGTGCACTGTTCCTCTCAGTCACCGGCCTGAGCACTTACTTCCCAGGCCCATGTGATGAGGACTTGCTTGATCCATGCTATAACATTTCTTTAGCACAACAGGTCTATGCACTAGGAACTGAGCCCATGTTTTCTTGCCCATCAGTTGTTGCTAAAAATTTGTCTAATTAATTTTTTAAAAATTACAAAATAATTAAGCCCACATTTTCCCCCTGACAACCATTTTCAGAATACAGGCCTTCAGGCTTCATTAGTATGCAGCCAGCACTTCACCCATAGACACGTTCACTGAATAACCACAGTGATAACCTCAGCCCTTAACCTCCACCTGTGCTTCTTGCCGAAGGGGCCAAACCACTCAGATCCTCACAATATTCACTGTATCCGCCCACTGTGGGCAGACTAAGCAGTGAGGATAAGGGGGAGCTCCCCATTAAGGCTGGATAGGGGAAGAGAAGGAAGCTTAAACTAACTTCAATAAGCTAAAAATCACGTAAGACATCTGTGAAAATGTGGTAAATGACAACTATTCATTAAAAAATTAATAAAATACCCTTAATATAAAAATAACAATGCCTACATATGAATAGCAAGTCACATTTTACAAAGCAATTTTGATCCCTTTCCTTATTTGCCCTGCCACACACAGTCTTATAGGTGAGAAGAAAAAGGATTAAGAGAGAAATGTGGCAAAGCTGATGCTTTAATTCAGGTTTCACTTCATTTTCCACTTAATGAAAAAGAAAATACACACCAAATAAAGATCAAAGACCAACAGGACTACAAGACTACCAAAACATAGAGAATGAAATGTAGAAATGCAATGAGACCAGTTTCAGTGGAGCAACTTTTGTTTCTTGGCAGTCAAGGACAGTGAGGTTTTTCAAGAAAGAGGACTTTCACTAGGTATTGTTTGCAGGCTGAGCAATGTAAGAGGTGTAGGAAAGTGGTGTGTACGCATACATCTTTGGAACAAGTTTCAAGCTACTGCAAAATCCCTTCGTGTTTGATTACTTAAGAATCAAATGGGTTCAGTGGGTTGAAGAAACAGACTACACAGACCATACATAGACTACCTTCAATGCATGGGTGGCATCAAGCACACTGCCAAGCACAAAGTAGACTTTCATTATGTACTTGCTGATTTGGCTGGACTTTTAGTTATACAGTAACAAGATACAGTCTCATTAAAAACTCCTAACACGTATCTTACCCTCCCCAACTAGGTATTGCCATAAAATACCAGCTGAAGAAGAAACTAGAAACTTCTCTCCCATCACCAAATTGCTTCTGTATTAATGTCAAACTGAGACCTTTCCAAAAAAGAGGCTGAAATAATCAATCATATCATACCAAAGTTTATTGATTACATCAAACAAAAATTTCTGTAATGGAAAAGGCAAGTTGCAGTCATAAAAGATGGCATTCACATTCATTTTAGAAAGCAACTACACAGATGTAAAAAATTGCTTAAGTGAAAAATGTAACATTGCAGTCCCATTTTGCAAGCTCAAAAATGATTTTGTCAACACGCATAAAACCTGCATATTTATGTACTGCATGTTATTAAAAAATTCCATCACTAAATTATTATGAATTTTGCAAAGTTAGGCTTACATTTTTACTGTTGCTGGTGTATATGTAGTAGATATGGAATGAATGTTTTCAGTTTGGTAAGTAACATTGTCAAACAATGAACAACAGTTGTGAAAATTACAAAGACATTTTGATAGCTCAAAATTATTCAAATTATAGGTATATGATCCTATTATTAAATTTTTTCTCCTTTCTCTGTTACAAATAGGGTGATTACATTGTAGTGCTAGGAATACTGCATGGTTTGTTTCAGTTCTTCAATCTGCTAACCCCACACTGGCCATTGTTTTCCTCTTCAAAAAAATATCTTTTAAAAAGGAAAGCCAGGTTCCTCTCAAGGATCTAGGCCATGATATCATGTATCATTGCCATTCTGAATTTGAGCTGCAGTGTTACAATGTAATGCATAACTGAGATATAACTCTAAATCCCCCTTACTTTTAGTCTTTCTCTCTGGCTGGGCTGAATTTTACATGTAACCAGTTATTTTTCTACTAGATTATTCTGTGAACCCTCTAATGGTACTGCATTAAACAAGCCTCTCTACTGTGGCTCTCGTCTGTATTCACAGTTCCCATAGATTTTATGTAAAACAACAACAATAATAATATAGTAACAACAACCATAAGAACAAGAACACAAACACAAAATATCAAAAGTTTTCCTGGGTAGACTTTTTAGCTCTTTGGAATAGGCAAAGAATACAGAGACTTTGTTTTCAGCAGCTTACCTCAAATACGGGCTACCAGAACACAGCGCACTTAGGTAAGTTGTGAATGACATGTAACAAAATGCTCAAAAATAATACTGATAAATGAGAACAAATGAAATAATGAAAAAGGGTCCATAATGATGGAATGGTTTCTGATAACTGAAATTATGGTCTTTTCTAGAATTTAGAAAGAAATCATATCTAAACATTAACACAAAATATATGTGGAAGAATCAAATGTGCCACATGGACTATATTAAATATAATACATCTTAACTCCAATACTTTTCCAAATCAAGGTACAATATAAACATTAATAGTACAGGCATGCCAGAAAGATCCCAAAAAAACCAGCAGTCAAATAAATATGGTCACTTATATCTAAAAAACTGTGTGTTTAACATTGAATGAAGACATTTCACATTTATGTTTCAAGTGAACTAATTAGAAGGCTACACCTTCCTTCTAGTTCAGCTAGTCAAAAACTTTACCAAGGTCAATCTCATGGTTTAGAGTTAGACCACTGCCCTGTCCAAGTTAACTAAGAGACAACATTCATTTTTTCACAGTCATGGCTCTGTAAGCTGAATCACTGTTTTGGGATGGATCCTTCCCCCTTTCCAAATTGGCCAACTTTAAGAAAAAGCACTGCATATATGCATAAATGCAATCTCTTTCAAATAAAAACCGTCAACAGTTTAAGCGATTCCTTTTCCTTTTCACATAAAATTATAAAAGGCCGATGTTCAGAATGACCTTTATTTTTATATGACTATGGTTTAAACCACCTTACTGCAGATCCCAGTAAAATCGACACTGGAAAAATCTGTTTATTTCCTACTTTGGGGGGCTACTAAGTGATTGGAAATGTTTTATATTTTATTTTCAAGTCTAGTAGCCTTACACCCATAAGTGGGGTATAATTCAGAAGAACAAAAAAAAAAAACAATCTTTTTTATATTTCCACAAAAATACCCGTAAATTAACACTTTCCACCTAAGTGTTCAAGGTATTTTTTGGCAAGAATATTCTACCAAGACATAAGTAGCATGTGGGTAAACAGAAGGGATTAACTATTCTGTCTGATACATTGATACTATTTAGTCCTTCTGTATTTTCAAGTATTCCTTATGCACTTTTGAAAAAAAAAGTTTAAGATGATCATTCAGGAGGAACAAGAAATGTGATCCAAATAGTCTATTTCTTCTGCCAGGCAAAAAAAGTAGTACTAGCAAAATCTATTCATTCTCATTGCATAACTTCTACTTTATACTATTGTATTTAAATCCATTCACAAAGTTCATGGGTTAAAAGAGCACCCATTTGATAGTTATATTATTCTGTCTAAAGCCAGAATTCTAAGTATCCTTGCTTTCAACTTTCATATAATTCTTAACTTACAGCTTTGGCCATAAAGGCTACTTACAATAATTATAAATGCTTAAGAGAATCATTTGGTATTTTAATGAACATTTATTGTGAACTCTAGACATGAGAGTGGTTTAGTGTGCTGCATATCGAGTATCCTGAGATGATAACTTTTTGTAGTTGTTTCTTCATACTTTCTGTTTTAGCTGTAACCACTGTCAGTATGCTTGTAGGACAATAACACAGGCAGTTCAAGATTCAGATTCTGAAAAATGTAAAATATAGAGATTTAAAAGATTTTAATAATAATGTGAAACCATCTGTTTAGCATTTTCAGAAGTAAATCAAGTAGTAAATTTTGTTAGGAGAGTAAAGCAACTGTCTTAACAAAGTGCCAAGTTTTATTCACATGCAGGGGAAAAAAAGAGTGACACTATAACCAGATTTTAATCCTTCATTTGTCAGCTGAATAGATTCAGGCTTGCTTTTTGCTTTTGGATTGTTCCAGGGTTCTCCTAATACTTTCTACCTCTAGGATTATCTACCATAGCAGCGGTTTACCTTGCTATGATCCCTTCTCCTCTAGGCTGGGAGGTCCTTGTAAACAGTAACGTTTTATTTATCTTCTATCTCCAGCACCTAGTATATAGTTTTTGCCACACAGCAGATGCTCAGGAAATGTTTAATGAATGATTACTGTTTTTTTCTTGATGTGTTAATTGTGATAGAGGAAGTCTAAAGATATATTCAGCTTTGGAAGATTATTGTGAAAATACTCTTCTTTTTTACTGAAAGAAGCACGTTGCCCCCCTACAATATGGAAGTTAATTTTCCTTTTGGTAGATCACACATGTATGAGTCAACTGATTCTTCCGTTTTTTCTTATGCTTCATCTTTTTGGAAGAGAAACCATGGATGTTTCCCTAACAAGTCTGTAGATTCTTCTCTGTACTCTAAACATCATCAAATGCTATTATCAGGACAGTGCATGACAGACAAACTGATCATCAAGTGTAAGTCAAGTATGGTAAGAAATGGAAGTCGTATGTCAAAACAGGGAGCCTAACTGATTCTCCACCCTAAAACTCAATCTTTTTGAACCTGAGTAGTGGAACGTCTTAAGTAGTATGCTATTTTCTTCCCATTCTGGGACACCTCCTTTGCCATGGTTGGACTAGAAGTTCATTAGAATACCTTCCATTTCTATTTATGTTCCACATTCTCCAGAACCACTAGTAGGTTTTCAGGTAGCTCTGCAGGGGGTCATGGTGACTCTAACCAAAATAAGGTTGCCTATTCATATTGAGAATGTAACTCACATTGAGTGAGTAGTTAGGTAGTTTTCTTACCAACCAAGGGACATACTAGATGCCTAAACTAACTGCTAATTATTGTCCCTGGAGGAGAAATAATGCCACATGAAAATCTATTTCTGGAAGAAATAACTACATTAAAAATAAGACAATTGTTTTTAAAAAAATACTTCCTCAGTTCTATGGTATACATTGTAGGAGATAAGGCCCTGAAGAGGTCAAAAGCAATAGCAGTGTCTTCTATCCAGCCCAGTCCCCCAAACCACAGACCAAGCTAAAGAGAGCAATCCAGGGGGATACAAAATTAACCAGAAACAATATAGCTAAAATGCATCACACAGCTTAGAGCAAAGCAATCTGGGACAAAGGGGTCAAAGAATTTGAAGGCTACTTGTGAAGCAGATTCACTACTATGGGAAAACATATGCAGGTAAGTTGTTCAAAAATGGGTAAAAAGATGCTAACTTGGCAAAATGAGCCTGCCTCTAAAATAACAGTGCAGATACAGACTGTGATGAACTCTAGGAGACAGGAGAACCAATGGATTCAATTTATTAGTTTAACTTATATTCTTTGCCAGAGGGTGGTGGAGTTGACAGCTAATGAAAAAATACAGGCCTATGCGGTGGACCCACAATTATTAGCTTCAAAGTGAACTAACCCACAATTTTATTCATGATGATCATTAATTTTTATGCATGCATGAAAGATGGCCCCGCTCTAAGCTGTGTAGAATTGTTTCCAAGCTGAGAAGCTTGGAAGCCTCATTCATGAATTACTCTGAATTTCTATGGATGGATAAAAGACCTCCAGAGGTATGGGTTGTTAAAGGCCCCCACTGAAGGAAATACAGACTACACATAAGGAGTCATTCTGAGTTCAAGGGTCCCTCCCATAGTAAATCATTTCCTCCCAAATACTTTTTGGGGGTAAGTGAAATAATATAAAGTGAATTTAATCATTTTTTGAAATATTAATTACAAAGCATTTTATATAATTAGGCAAGGATCCCCCTGAATGGCTACAGAAGATTTTACCTCTGAAAGTTGAAACATTTAGCTTGAATAAAACTTGACATTAGAAAAGTTATGATTAGACTGGTTCATTGGTATCTATTAGGGGACCAGACATTTACAAGGATGTAAGTCTATACAGTACCTGCAAACACACAGACACAGCACATGAAGGAACAAACACATTTAGTTATTTTCACATAATTCCCAAGAAAACATGCAATGCTAAATTGACTTGATGTTATACAGATGCAATTTTGGAATATTTATTTTTAATTTCCCAAATGATCTCTATAAATAGAAGTTATATTTCCTGATCAACATTAAGAAACATTTTCACAAGATGGTCCTGTCATGACAACTTTCCCCTTACAAATTAAATATGCTGTATCAACATTTGGCTCTAAAAAATATTTAACATTTCGACGGGCTTAGCAAATTAAAAATGCATATTTCCCCATATTCCAAGTAATGCATCTTTATATTTTTGCAAAGAATATTGTAAAGTTCACCACACCAACAGCAGAGAAATTAGAGAGTGATATTTTCATTTTTTTCTTTATAATGCTGTTAATCTGTTTTTTTAAAGCCAGCCCATTTGTTTAACACTAGGTACCTGTTACAGTACATTAGATTCATCTGAGAATGTTCGTAAAAGAAGAGGTCTGACTGAAGGTCTGGCGGATAATGAGTCAGATGCCCTTCTACAGCTCAGATTACTCTGTAATAGTGAGGCAAAGATACTTAACTCATTTGAAAATTGGTTAACCTACCTGGCAATTAAAAAAAAAAAGGGTAAAAGAAAAAAGAAACATTCATTTCCTATAGACTACTATTCTGGCCAAAAATACAAATGATTACACTATATAGTAAATGTATAACATTCAAATAAATACACTCAAAGGCCTAAGAAAGTCTCCAACCCGAATTATTTTTGTGGTAGAAGTAACAGACAACAGTAGTATGTGGCAAACGGGTTTCTGGAATGGCACTGGTAAGTAATATGGTAAGATGAATCAATATGGTTTGATTAGTAAACCTTACCATCCTTTTGGTGAACACCTCTGAGAGTTGTGCCGGTGCTGTGAGTATATCAAACAAAGAGATATTTGTGCAAAACATTCCTGTCCTGGTGAACAGACTAGCTCTAACACACCATGGCTACTGCATATCGTGGATCAATGAAGACTATAGACCCATAGTTCAAGCTTTTAAAAATTACTTCCTCTTCAGTGTGACAATTTGGAAGGTAAACAAATGATTAAAAGAAAATGACAAAATGCTCTAAGTATCAATAGAAGATATAAAATGAGTCATGAGAAGTAATTTTTCATAAAGAATCAGAAAATGGTGTCAGGCAAATGAGAATGCAAGCAAGTTGGTACATTAAGAAAGGAAATCACCTTATTCACTCCAAGAGAAACTGTGATTGCTGGAAGTTTGAGAAAGCATGAAGATAGTAGATGTTCCTGAGGAAGGGAGGCGTTTCGTTACCTTGTTCACAATTGCACAAAAGGTGGAAAATTGCAGTAGAAAAAAGAGAAATGCAGAAACCAAAAAAAAAAGTAAATAATCTCTCAAATCTAAGACATTTAAAAAGAAACCTTGAGAATTTGAAGCCGAAATGATATGTTAGTTTTGAAGACATTATTTTCTGAAGTAAAAGCAGAGTCAGACAGGAATAGTCTATTATTATGTGCCATCTACTATTTCTCTACTTATCAATTTGAAATTACTTTGTTAATGGGAAAAAATTGACTATTTTAAATAAAATAGCTTTAAAATCTACTTCCCATTAAAATAAGACTTATTTCTAATCATTAATTCACTATCCAAATTTGTTCAAAATCCACTGGTCAAAGAGCTATGTCCAGGGTCCACTGTCAATCACCAAGCTATCTTGAAGTAATTATCTCCCCTATCCAACCTCACAGATACCATATGAAGGGACTGACTGCTCTTAAGCAGCTGCAGGATAAAAATCAAATCAAAAAGAACAATGGGAAAACATTTGCTGATACCACATTTCAGTCCCATTTGCCTCTGACCAATGCTTAACTTCCTTTCTTACAACCTAATTTGATTGGTTTCCCTTTTTTTCTACAAAGTCCTCTTTAGAAAGGTAGGCTAAATTTTACCTAGGTAAGGTATTATTTTTTTCCCCTTGAAACACCCAGAAAAGTAAAAATTGATACAGTTTAACTAGCAAACCTAAGGTTATTTTTTTTCCTTCTGATTCTGTGCCTGAAATTGCAAGGAAATTTACAGAGTCAGTTTTGGCATTGCCCAAGCAAAACAGAAGATGAGTGGTCAACAATGTGGATGAGTTAAACAACTCTGCTAATAAAGATTACCCATATCGTCTATGACTTAAAATGGGCTTAGAAAAAGAAACCAGCTAAAGTAACGTATGTATCCACAAGATTCTAATAAACAAACTTTTAAAGGTAAATAATTTATTCATGTTTTGATAACCATATTTTTTTGTTTGTATTTTACCTTAAATGAAGAAAGTTGGTAGACATGCTGGTAGAATGCAAATTATCAATTGATAAAGCTAGAGAATATTTAGATTCTAAGAAAAAGATTTTAATTGTTTCTATCTTCTACTTTATGGGCAAAAACCCTGCAACAAGATTAGCATGATATCAAGTTCCCCCACCCCCGTGTTTAATGCACAAACCTATCTATTCAAGACTGTAACTGTAAGCATGTTTTGGTGTGCTCAAAAACTTGTGTCCAACCATCAGAGATAAAAGTATTTCTACGAAGCAGAAATTTTAGGAGTTAATAGATTAGGTGTTAAAACTACTTTATAAAGGAAATGAAAGTACAGAAAGCAGGAGAAAGCATGAAAAGAGTAACTAAAGCAATAAAAAAAATGATATAGTTAGCAACTGGCAGTGGGGTGGGGAAAACAGGTGACAATGAGCTAAAACAGAATGAAATTTTCACATTCCTTTGCAGTCATCTAGAGAGCTTTGACACCAGCTCAATTAGCAGTATGTCAAAGAGGCCAATGGATAAAGGCCCATCTCAATTGCCACGACATTAGGATTAAAATTTATTTTTGTCTAATCCATCTATCAGGGCTATTGCCCTCTGAACCCATGGTTGTATATAACGCTGTAAGAATCATAATAGTAATCATCATTATTATAATGTTCAACTATATTCTCCAAAATTTCCAAAGTGCTTTCTCTGGAAATTTGGCTCAGACCATTGACATTCTTCCCTTCCCTGTCTGCCACTCTGAAAGAGCTCTCTACATAATAAAGTATTTATTCCTGTTTGTGCTGATATGCCATGCTAAGCATGGCCATGCTGCTGGGTGCATTCCCATTAAATTATAGTCTTCTTATGTCTAGCAGGCTAAGTTAAGTCTCCTTTTTGAAAAGGAGACTTACATGAGAAGACTTCACACAGGATATGTGGAAAATTTCTCCACTGGAAATGAGAAGTGGTATTTGCTACTTGGCCAGAAAGTCCAGGCATATTTCATTGATTTACAGACAGCTTAGCGGGGACACAACTTTTTGAAATACAAAAATCCTAAACTTTAGTTTCCCTTGAGGTGTTATCCTGCTGTTTTACTGTCCAGTGCTCAATGATAGTTTCATCATATACCATGAGCAGCATTGCTATGCAGCTTTGTCACTTGATAAAGCTAAAGAAAAGCTCTAGGATTCTTAATAATGAAACTTTGGAAAAAATTAAACTCATTGCTAAAAATACAGCCGATGGATATATGGCTTAACTACAACTGAGTTAAACAGCTGAGAGAACCTATTTTTGAAGACAGTGTAATTCTTTGCAATACTAGCATTATAACAGAACTCAGTTGCAGTGGAGGCTGCCATACTAGCGATTTTATGGAAGCTTCAGGAGGTAGTGACTTGCAATAGCTCAATTATGTTAAAACAAGCCATATCATTGATTCTGCTATTCTGTTTAACACCTGCTTACAGAAGGATTCCATATGAATGCTCCTTATAACTTAACTAGAATGAGAGCTCCCTTGTGAGCTAGGGCCACATCTGATTCATCCCTGAATTACTAACACCTAGTACAGCAGCTAACTCATGCAAGTTACACTGAATTGAACAGAATTGTTATAATTGTTAAATATAAATAGCTTAGCTTCTTTCTTAAATGCTATAGAGACATTTTCACCACACACTGCTAAGTCCCCTTCTCAAAGCAGTTGCCAAGACCCATAAAAGAACAGCATTGGCAGCTGACATGCCGCATTTCTTGCTATGTATAAAGTGTCCATGATGCTTATTGGTTGAAGTCAGGGATATCTTACTACTCTAGGTAGAGACATACATTTTACCCCATTAGGGGGATCTATCAGGATATGGGGCAGATCCTGCATCTTTTGCCTTTCTTTAAAATGAGGCCAATGTCTTAGCAAGGAATATTGAACAAAGTAGGAAATCACACAGAATGTCAGACTGTTGGTCACTGAGCATAAAGACTAAAATATTTGGGGGAAAGTAACATACTCTTTCTCCTTTATCTTAGAAGTTGGCCTCTGCCTCTTTGATATAGCCAAATAGGGCCTTATGTAAACAGAAGAGCCGTGGCTGCCATGTTGCAGTAGGCCTTTATGCATTCATATTGCACTATTCTGCTCTTGCATTTTTTTACAAGAAAAAAAAAAAGAGGCAGCACTGCTGAGTGCCCACAACATTTTGTCTCATTTGCAACTCTCGAAATCCCGCAGATTCTGAAAAACCATTTAGCCTTTCAGACGTTGGATGTAAAGAGAGATGTTCATCAGCAGGCGGTTCAACAAATGTTTATTGGTTCAACAAGGGTAGGAATAAATGAATGAATGATTGCATGAATGAAAATGATTATGGAAATTTTTCCTGGTTGTTCTAGCATATCAGCATGCCTAGCTATAGCACAGACACTAGAATTCCTCCTATGCTGGACATAACCCATAACAAATTTCCTGCTAAACCCCTGGCAACAGTCTATGCTGCTAAGTTAAAAAAGGATGCAGTCCCAGAACTCCATACTTTCAACAGAAGTTCAGAATCTGTATGGAAAGAAAATGTTCTAAGTCTTTATCTGTGACTGCTTAGTAGTATCCCACAATTTAGTAGTCTATGTAAGAGTCACCTCCAGCCAATGTCTAACTTTTTAAAGAGAGGGCCTAATAAGGAAGAAAGTAAGTTTGAAGGTTTTGTTTTCTGAGATTTTTCTATCATCTTGAGACCATGTAGCTGGGTGTGAGCCATTATTTAACATGAGCTCCGTTACCTCAAATAAAAGACACATTTAGGATCACTCCAAAGTGTACTCCCAAATAAGGAGGATGGAAGAGCAACTTGGAAATCCTTCCTTGGAAAATTCTCTATTATAAAAAGCCCCAAATCATTTCTTATTGCAACATATTTTATTTGGTTTCATGCAAATTGCCACTTGAGACATTCTGGGTGGAGTCTGTTCTATCAACCTGTTTTTATCCCTGTTCAACAGATTTTAAGACATAATCAGGTATTTGAATGCTACTTTTCCATCATAAAACCAAACCCCAGACTACAGTGAAGCAGTCTAACTAAACTAACATTATTGTGTCCAGTTCCAGCCCATAAGACATGCAGAAGCAGGGAGTTAAGGACAATTCTGGCCATCTAACTACACACTGACTGGCCTTGCATATGAAGAATCAATGTACCCTATGTTAATTCTCTTGTTTTGATTGGGGATGACACTGACTTGTAATGTGAAACTCCTCTTTTGCATTTCTAAGCACTGAAGGTTTTCCTACTCTAATCATTTCAGATCCCCATGTCTATGTAATATCAACCACTGGATTCTATCAATTCAATAGGGAAAACCAAAATCATCATGTAACGGTTTTGTGGATAAACTGGTTGGCAAATTTATCAAATAGGTCAGGTAGTCATAGCTTAGAATATTACCTGAAAATACTGCCTTGGAGGTATTTACAACTACAAGATCTAGTTGATGTCAATACGACAGAAACAGTTGCGTTTAACAAAATCAGCTACTATTGGCAGGAATATGACATATTTAATTAGCCTGTTGGTCAAAATCTGCCAAAAGTTTTATTTTCCATGCTCATCTCCCTATTGCGCTTTAAAGGCTTTTTAAAAAACGTTTAAAAGATATCATAATGAGGCAGCAAAGAAAATAACTTCTCATTCCCATAGGAAATTTACAATTTAATAGGAAAAATAAAAACACACTCACAAAACTACCTTGAATTTTTATGAGTGTGTTCCAGAGTGTAAGGATGTAGAAACCACATCCAGGGAATTCTCTTTGGTTCAAATATACTGTTGGACAGACAGGGCTAGAAGCAACACAGAGATTAAGCAGCACTATAATTAAAGGAAGGGGAAAGGTTTGAAAGAAGCAAATTGGTTTATCAACTGAAAAAAAATCTGCAAACAGCCGACAGGGAAATTTCTAAGTTTAAAGTGGAAATGTTGGTGTGGAAATTCCTAATGTGAAAATTCTAGGCTATGAAATAATTTTTTCCTTTTAAAATTCCATATGGAGCATATGAGATACTCCATATGGATTGCTAAAGGTCACACAGAACACTATTAAGGAATCTACTTACCACCTGCATTGGATAACGAAGTTTTTACTATACTTTTTATGCAGAAGAGGAAATTAAGTGATGAACCTGTAAGGAGGGGTTTAACATGCTGTAACTAATGTAATTTTCTAAATCAGGTTTTTAGTTCATGGCAGATATTGAGGCCCCTTCCAAAAATCAGGTTGTAAAATAAACTTAGTTCTTACCCGGGCACTTCTTCGTCTTACATTCTTTAATACTATCAGAAGAATCTCAGGGAAAAGGCTAATAAATATTAGAAGAATTATAGCCAACCATGTGGATACAGAAGACAGCATCTGAGCAAATACAAAATACATTCTCTGTTGCTTGAGAAAAGGCCTGCAGTAGAAAGAAAATACATGATGGAAAAACAAATCAAATCCTGTCATATGAAATAGAAGTTGAATTGAAATATCCTTTGTATTTTAAAAGAATCTTCCTTATACATATTAATAATTTTCTCTAAAATATCCCAAAAGTAGTAAACAAATTTCGTTTACCAAATGTTTGAAAAAAAAAAAAAAAAAAAAAAAAGAATGATAATCAAAGGAGAAAGAAGATAATAAAATGCATTTGACTTGAAAACAACCAGGCAATCAACTCTAAAGCTGTCAACCGGTGACTATTTACGTGCATTAGAAAATGCTGGTATTTCAAAAGCATTCAAGAGAAATGATGACTCATTTTTATCCTAACAAGCATTTTATTTCCTCAGCTGTTTTATTAAGATGGAGATGGATTTGTGTTCTGTATTCAGAAATTTAAGACATTTTTATAACTCTCCCTCAATAAAAACACGACGTAAATATAAAAAGGACAGTAAAAGTTTATCGTCTCTCTCAAATGGAAGGAATCTACCATTGTCATCTACAAATATATATTAACAGTGTGTGCCAAATAGGTTGATACAGAGTGGAATATTGCTAATTGGACATTAAGCCTTAGAATCCAGAAATCCAGGAGGAACTTTTATTCTGAAGTTAGATTTCATTCCAAGTCATCCACTTCATTGTTAAGTGGCCATTGAGAAGCACGGCCGTTTCCCTTCCCTTCTGTCAGAGCTGAACCACAGACAGCCTCACTTGGTGAAGCTATTGTTGTTCAAAGGTGAGGGGGAAGAAGTTGCTGCTTAAAGAGAGGATGCAGAACAGACTGCCCTAGGATTAAGAGCTCTAGGTAGATAACTATGGTTCCTGTTTATAAGATGACACATCATGCTCGCTGAAGATAATTTGATTTCTCATTTAAAAATTAATGTCCATGCACCCTTACGTAACATGATAAAACTGAGTTTGTGGCTCTACTTATGTGAAAACTAGATTGTGGAATAAAAGAACAGGGAGGTGAAAAAATTTATGAGGCCTGGGCTACACAAGCTTTCTGGGAAATGTCTGCCACACAGAAAAGCCTTCTGCAGGACTACCTCACTTGAATTCTGAAGATCACCCTGAATAATGTTCTAGGCAGTTAACTGAGCCATAACAGGGGCCCAGGTAACAACTGGTAGCTAGTCACAGGTTGTTCCTTTGCATCATACCCTCTGACTAATGTCTCCAGTATTTTTTCTTAACCTCCATGTCATCTACGGAGTTTTGTCGTAGGGCAGTAAAAAACAAACACTATTATTTTTGGATGTGGTTTGGGGCTGGGAAGTCATCATTCTCACTACCCAACCCCAAAGAGGGGTGTGACTCAATGCCTCAGGGTAGAACATGTCCTGATACATTAATTGTGACCACATTCAGCTGAAGTTTCACATTGTTTCTAGTCACATTTTACTGGTTGCTTTATAAGTTTATATTCATGTAGTGGCTCAACTCAACTCTACTTAACAATAATACTTCAGGCAATAAAATAAAAAAATAGATTAACATTTCACTTGTAGTATCACTAATGAAAAGAAACAGGTGTGACAATATCATAATCATTTAATGGATTTATTTTCATCAATAAGGAATAGACTGTGGAAAGGGTTGGAAATGAGTTTGCCAGAAACATTTTATTCTTGTAGAAATTTTGCATAATTAGTTCAAATGCTGATTACATAGATTCATAGACAGAATTACAGTACTCTGGGCAGACATACAATTGTATACGGTATGTTCTTAATAACTTTGATTTACTTGTATATTATTCAAGAAAACAGAGACTTCTTTCAGCTTCACTGCTCTCAATTACCTATAGAGGTACCAAATATATGCTGTAATTATACTTTTTAAAGCTGGTACTTCCATAAATGATTAGGTTTCTCATATTTTTATTTCTTAAGGTTTTTATTTTTGAAAAGCTTTTCAAATAGTAAGTTTCTTCTAATTAAAACTCAAGGGACATAAACATAGGCCTCACATCTGTGTAATAAAACAGAATATTTTGTATGTAAGATTTTGCTCAAAGCAATGAAAATATGTACTCCTGAAATCTTATCGTGTGGCTTACTCTGGCCATGCTCTCTACTGCTGGTATCCTTGTCAGGGGAAGCCATGACTAAAAAAGAAAAACTCTTAACATTTAAAAACAAAATACAGGTTTTTAGGAGTAAAGAAAGGAGATGCAAATATATAATTTCCCCGATCACAGCTTGTGTGTCCCTCAATGTACTCTAATCTCCTTGAGTACAGTCTAGTCATCTCTCTATCCCATAGAGTCCCAAGCACAAAACTGATTCTGAACAAACATCTATTGAACCAAGATGAACTAAATGAACTTTAAGGACAAGCTGCAGAGCCTGCCTTTCTACATCTTCACACCCCCACCAAAACAGTGAGATGGTGATTTCAAAACATAACCCTCTGAGTATTAAGTAGCATATATCCTATACATTGAGCACATGTGTAGTAACATGAATGACAGTTATATACTATAAAGAGAAAACAGGGTCCAAATGGACAATAATGCATCTGTTGGCTAATATATCAGGTAAAAACTTCACAGGATGAATATTTCCTCTGAAAATCACGAGAGGTATGCTAAAAACTAGTTTCACTGGAGAGATGTTTACACATCTTCAAATAGAAAGAGTTGGACAGGGGTTACCAAAGTGAGGTCTTCTGCGTGATTCTTGCAGTGTATATACTGGTATTTAAAATCTTACCTGAAATCAGTAGCATTACCAGCTAACAAGTAACCTTCAGTCCATTAATATTAAAGATCTGCCATCTTATATAATCAAAACTTGAAAAGTATAATGAATGCTTATATATATAGTGTACATTGCTCACACATGTACAATTACTCACCAAATAATTCCTCCCCAGAAAAATGAGAAAAATACATAGAAGGCTAAAGAACCCCAAATCACAAAGTGATTTATCCATGTCCAGAATCGGGTATCCAAGGCAAGCTGAAAAGATGCAACACAAAAGATTTCATGATGGTTACAAATTGCACCAGGCAATATGCTACAGTATCTGAAAACTAGTACACAATGATACCTATGGGAGGATCTAGCTTGGGCCAGGGATCCAGAGGAGAGTGGAACTAAACAGAATCCACGTTTTTCAAAGAACAAGGGTGAGAAAGTTGAGCTCTGCCCTAAGGCCTCTAAACTCTGGAGTACAGGCTGGAGGTGTAATCAGGCTAAGTAGCTAGTAGGTATAGGACTGCAGATCTCTCAGTACTGGGCAATGGATAAGGAATGAAGTAATGGCAATATCTAGGAGGCCCAAATTCCAAGTCCTTATGCAATGGCGGCCAGGAAGATGATGGCAAAAGGAGACCTAGCTGGTGGAGGCAGATTTGCTGAAATGAAGTAGGAGATGAAATGCCTACCTAGGAAGGGTAGACAAACCAAAAAATTTTCAAAGGTGTCATGAAAGCTCAACACAACAGACAAGAATCGCTAAATACAAAGGCTCTATACACCTAACATCATGTAGCACTGAATCATGGGTTTGACTACGTAGTGTATCTTTCAAATTGCAAAACCTGTATCTATTCCATTAAATTAATAAAACGTTGAGTTAGAGTTTAATCTCTTCATATTTCTGCCAAGAATAATCATGTTTTCAGATTGTGGCATCTGGGATTTTTAAATGTGATCTAAAAACAAAAGTATGGTCTATTTCACTTGCTTAAAACATGAGCTAATACCCAGAGTAGTTAATTTTTATAGAGGACATGGTGTCTTAGTTTTGTTACTTGCTGTGACACCTTGGACATCAGCTCTCTGTTATAGTTTCTCATTTATAAACAGGATATTGATAACATTGTTAATGTAGCTCAGTCTTGAATTGCTACTCTTCTGCTTGCTAGGGAAAATACTAATATGAATACAAAGATAATACTAATATTAATCCAAAGAGGAGGGAGTGTAAGTCTTTGAGATACACTGGAAAAACACTGTGAAGGCCATTTGGAGGCCCTTAGGCTATACACAAGGACAGGGGGAAAAAGGAGGGGGGAGGCACCCATTTCAAATTGGGATACTATGAGACATAAAAACTGAAAACTAGCCCTTATTGTAATGAGCACCATCCTAAGTGTTTAATATGTATTCGCTAATTGACTCCTCAAGAAACCCTAAGAAGGGTAAGTGCTACTTTTATCTCAATTTTACACAAGAGGAAACCGAGGCACAGAGAAGTTAAAGTCACTTGCCCAAGGACACACAGCTAGTAAGTGGCTATACTGATATGAACTGTAACATGTCCTTTTAAGGTCCTAAAATATTACTGAAATAGATGAATAAAGCAAACATATGTTAGCTCTATCTGGTATGAGAAATAAACCATGAAAAACAATTTAGAGGGAAAGCTGAGAGAGATCCTTTGACAATTATACTTCTGAATTCTGGTTCTAACCCCTGGGGATGCTGGAATTCATTTAAAGGTATTTACTCATGGACCCCATGTGAGGTGTTTATTATTAGAATGATAAAAATAATTTGATTATGCTTTCAACTATAAGAGACTCCCAAATCATGGGTGTCAAGGGTAGCAATCAGTGAGGTTTCACAGCATTATCATATGGCTGTATGTCAGTGCCAATGATTTTGCCAAAATTACCTTTCTTTTGTTTACCTGCACTACATTCTTAAGCACTCTGTCACTAACATGGGTAAATTTTAGTGATTAATTCAATTTATACATTTTTTAATTTTTCTACATTTATTTTTAAATTAAAAAAATACAAATAAGAGACAGGGGTTCACTATGTTGCTCAAGCTAGTCTTGAACTCCTGGCCTCAAGTGATCTGCCTGCCTTGGTCACCCAGAGTACTGGGATTACAGGCATGAGCCACCACATCCGGCCATCAACGATGAATACATTTTATAAAACGTTACTACTATCAAGCCCTTTTTCACATATATCTTGCTCATATATACCTATTTTAGGCCCGAGGTTCTTAAACAGATGTATAATTTTTAGAAGATTCAAGTACTTAACATAAAAACACAAACACACATGCACGCACACAAGCACACACTCTCTCACCCACAACCCGTTTATATGCCACTTAAAATAGTAGTAAAGAAACAGATTTTCACCATAAGTATGATATTTGAATTTTTTAAGTAAAACAAAATAAAGATGATAATATACTGGAAAAAATTAATCAAAAATAGTATACAAATACCCAAATCATTAACATCATACACATTTTAGTAAGTATTAAGACAAAGACTTTAATAACAACCCATAACAAAAATAAAGATTAGGAGACAAAGAAATGGTATATTGGGATAAGACAAGAAAGTATTACAGAAACAGTGTTAAATATATGTGAATAAGTAAAAATCTAACCTTCAGAGTTACAGTGAATACTAAGACTGTAAAAACAATGGTTCCGAAAGTCCAGTTTCCGTATACCTGAAAAACATTTAATAATTACATGTACCATGTATATGCAAGTATTATCTGAGTTTTCTTTTTTTTTTGTTTTTGAGATGGAGTTTCGCTCTTGTTACCCAGCCTGGAGTGCAATGGCGCGATCTCGGCTCACCGCAACCTCCGCCTCCTGGGTTCAGGCAATTCTCCTGCCTCAGCCTCCCGAGTAGCTGGGATTACAGGCACGCGCCACCATGCCCAGCTAATTTTTTGTATTTTTAGTAGAGACAGGGTTTCACCATGTTGACCAGAATGGTCTCAATCTCTTGACCTCGTGATCCACTGGCCTCGGCCTCCCGAGTAGCTGGGATTACAGGCACGCGCCACCATGCCCAGCTAATTTTTTGTATTTTTAGTAGAGACAGGGTTTCACCATGTTGACCAGGATGGTCTCAATCTCTTGACCTCGTGATCCACTGGCCTCGGCCTCCCAAAGTGCTGGGATTACAGGCTTGAGCCACCGCGCCCGGCCAGTACTTTTTTATGTTAAAAAAAAAAGCCAAGTTTAATCTTGTGGGTAACTGCCAAAGATTTTTGTATGAAATGTTTAAGGAAACAGCTAGTCAATAAGATCAGGCCACAATGCCAGATTTTCCTGTGATCCTAAATTTTCACGAACAGATACACCCCACCTGTGGTTGGCAGGGTTTACTTCTATTACTCCATGCAGCATTAAACAGGGAACTCGCTGGTGTGACAAAGGCCAAAGAAAGCAAATACTCTACTAACAGCAATGTTCATCAAAACAAGTCATTTGAATGATTCATGTCTCTAAAGAATTTGATATGGGATTTACCTACAATATAGAACTAAACCTCTCAAATGAGCAATAATTTGTAGACAAATGGATTGACATTTTGTTAAATGAGTCTTTTTTTGGGGTTGTAAATACAAGAGCTGTCAGCATGTGCACATCAACGAAAAGCAGATACCATGTATAAATCCAAATGATGGCAATGAATGGCACATATGCTTACCAAATGTTGTCAAGATCTGAATGCATAACATTAAAACAGAAAATGAGATGTAAAAGGTTTTTTAAAAAATAAAAACAAAAATTAAGATTAATAGAAGCAAAAAAAGGATTCACTCAAATCATATATGAGTGTTTTTTTCTTGCTAATAGTAATTCATATACTTACCGTAATTTTAGCAAACATTTAGAGGGATGGTGACATATACAATAAAACCTTATTAATTTGGACTTTGTGAACTCAAAATGGGTAACTAATTAAACAGATGCTGAGTTGATGTTCTCATGCACCACCTGGAAAGTTTGCTGAGCAAATGATTCACATCGACTATAGGAGAGTATCTGCTACTTTGGAGCAAACTCCTTTTAAGCAGTAGCCAGCTATATAAAATCTGCCTGCCAAATAAAACCAAAATAAAAAGTGAATTTGCACAATCAGTTATAAACCTCAAGAGGCCGGAAAATCATCAAATCAAATCAATTTTTCTTACTGGTGGGTAAAGCGGACCTGGAAAACTGATGTGATTTTCCCAAGGGCTCACAGGATTTGGCAGGACACTCTTTGGCAAGTGCTACATGTGACTACTTTAAAGTAGATCTGTGTTTCCCCAACAAGTACTTTGTGATTAATAATTTTCATGGGTTCATACTAAACTAATTTTTGTCCAAATTAGAGAGGTTTTGATTGCAGTGTCTAATTTTAAAGTACCATTCAAATTCACTGAACCTATTTTTCTGTAACAGGACATAATACTCAGTAAATTCTTTTTGAATCTTAGCTTTGCTTCACATTATCATTATAAAGAATGAACAACCATAAATGAAGAATCTCAGAAATAGCAAAGGAGAACATAGTGAAAGCAGTATGCAAGGTAGTGTTTTTGGTTTCCTATTGTGTGGCTGCAGGAGGAAGGCCTCACCTGTCCCCCATCACTAATTTTCTCTTAGAGTACAGAGAGGGCAAAATGACCCCAGTGCAGCTGCTGAATGAGATAGTCATGAGCTGGGAAGACATTGGCAGGACCAGAGTAGCCTTTCTGGAGAATACTGTGCTTCCATTGGGAAGAGAATTTCCCTCTTCACCTATTGGGCAAACACTCCAAATATATGGCAGCTACCCACTTTAGCTGCAAGCATGGAAGGCCACCCTGAATAAGAACTGAGTGCAGCCAGGCTTTACTTTAAAATGGGAAAAACCTTTCTCTTGTCAAAGAGCAGGAGTCTGAAGTCCCAAGAACTCTGTTAATCTAGTAAAAATTACGGGCAAGTTAAGGTTCCAGAAAGATTGCAGATAAGCTCTCTAGTTAGCCATGCACACAGAAAGTGACTTCTTATTTCACTTCTATTGTTCTACAGAAGCTGTGAGAACTAACTACTGTATCTTCAGAAAAAGTTTGTAAAATGATTACCTCTAGAGTATGTATATGACAGATCCAGTGCCTGTGGGAAAAAGATAAGCCATGCTTATGACACCAAAAGATGTAATGACAGCTTCTTTTTACCTTTCCATTTTCTTCTAGGGATGCAGTCTGAAAAAGAAAGTAAGTCCCAAAGAAGAACACTGTCCCTTCAAAGGCAGCCAGAAATGTCCAATATAAGAAGGGGCTCAACTGTAGCATGGCATTGCCTGAAATTTTCCTATTGAGAAATGGGAAAAAACATTAGTAAAACTTTTCATTTAAACATACAGTGAAATGTCAAAGGTGGGCATGGGGTTTGACCCTGCTATAACGAAGGGGACTACCCTTAATGGCCTGACAGATTTTTGGTAAAGGGTCAGACTGAGCCAAAGGCTGACCTTCATGCAGTCATCTCCTGACTCAGCCACTGGAGTAAACTCTTTAAACTCTTCTAAATTTTTGGCCACTTACAACAATAACATCAATAATTCCTTTGATTAATGGTACTTATATGCCAGGAATTGGGCTAAGAGTTTTACAGACATTAACTATTTTTATCCACATAAAAACTACCTGAGATAGGTATTATTATCACTCAGATTTACAAATAATGAGGAGCCTCAGAAAGGTGTAACACAATGGTTCCCAAACTTTGATGCACTTTGGAATCCCTGGAGGATCGTTAAAAACTACTAAGGCTCCCATCTTCATTCTGATTTAATTGGCATAGGCTGTAACATGGAGGTCAGGATATTTTTAAAGCCCCCCAGCTGATTTCAATGTGCAGTATAGTTTGCTAGTGTAGCAGCAATGCCAAAGTTCACTTGGTTAGAGACAGAGCTAATATACAATCTTGGATTGACTTGACTTCAGAGCATATGTTCTCAATCAAGCTACCAAGCTTTCCAAGAACAATTAAGATATTTCTTTTAATCAAGATTTATTCCTGGAAATCCAACCTTTTTTTTTAGGTCTTATGGTGCCCTTTATATTTTTCCATCAAGTCAAATAACATGTTTGGAGTTTTATAATGATACTCTGATAAATGGCAGGTGGACAGACTACGTTTAAATCTGTCAAAAACAGCACAAGTCAGAATGCTAAATAAGGCTACCATTTCTAATGGAGCAGAGCTGCAGAAAAAGATGGGTTTGTGCATGTGTTTCTTTTGGATTCTATTTCAAATTGCTCTTAACATTTAATAAATGATATCTAATTAGTCAAATAACATACTTGTTTCTAATACCACCAAGAATGTCACTGGGCTGTATCAAGTAAGAAACACCTTTGTAATGTAAATGCAACTGATCCTTGTTGAGTTGGTATTCAGTACTGTGGGATTTCATGAACACATTGCAATTACGCAACATTTACCTACTAGGATTTCCAGGTGCATTCAGCGATCTGAAATTTAGGGTATGCTGTCTGTCCTAGAAAAATGGCAGAAAGAGGTAGCTGCTTCCCAGAAACAAGTTCTCCCTACAGCCAGTAAGTCATGTTTCCAAGACAACTAGGAGCCAAAGGGAAGGCACCTCCGGTAAAGATCCTTGCAGGCACTGCCCAACAACTGCCAGCCAATGTGGCTTTTGACAGTCACTGACTTGAGCTAAGAAAGGGCAAAAGCAGGAAGTGGTCCCTGTATTTACATACCATTGACAGGAGTTACATCACATTCAGTGGGGGAAAAGAGCAGGAGAAGCATGATATGTTGAATTATAGGTCAGGCTTTCTAGCTGCACTCGATTGAAGAAACTGTCAAAAACCCAAGAATGGGGCAATTAACATGAAGGAGAGCATAAGAGAGAATCAAGATCTGGGGAGAGGTTGATGAGCAGCACAGGCCTGAGCACCTCCATATTATGGTAGGCAGCAGGTATACCAGAACCCTTTTGCCTTTTAATGCTGTAGAAGAAACAAATTACACCTGCTCCCTCTATACTAGTTTATTTTTTACATTTTTCTTAAAAATACAAAAACATCCAATTATGTCTTCTTTCACATCAAAGTGTTTGGAAGTATCCAAGTTACTAAATCACCAAAGGTAAAATCTATAATACGCTACACAATGCCACTGCTAAAATTAAGTGGCATGCTGTACAGAGAGCCATAGAAGAAGACCAGGGCTTCATGTTCACAAAGAATAGTCAGAGTAATGAAGCAATCTAGAGTCTGGTGACAGGCCAAGAGCAATGTCTTGTCAGAGAAGGCATTCACTACTTACAAGCATGAGGTCAAAGAGAAAAGTGGCACTTTGGGCTGGGCAATAGGTATGCCATAGACTTTATTTTTGCCTCAGATGTGGCAAGTCTATGCAAAATTCAATAAATCATGACCTACACCTAGAGCACAGTCACTAAAATTTTATGGAAACCCTTACGATATTTTGTACTCAACAGCTTTTTGCAGATTTTTGATATTCTTAATTTATACAAATGCTCAGCACAGCCCTGAAGGCTGGAGGAGGGTGTTAGAATAATAAGATTAATAGCTATCATTGCTTGAAAACTTGTCAGGCACTGTTTTTTTTAGTTATTTTGTATATAGTGACTCATTTATTCCTCACAAAACCATTGTGATTAGGTGCTACTGCTGCCCATATATTACTGAAGATGAAACTGAGGCATACAGTCAAGTAACCTGCATATGGTCACATGGTTAAGTGGCAGAGGATTTCAGCCCAGGTGTTAGTCTGAGCTCTTGGTGGGACTGAATGGGAGGAATTCTGCCTACTACCCCTCAAATCCCACTTCACTAGAGCAACTGCACTATTGGGCTTCACTTTAGAAGTTGTCTGGAAACAACTGTAGTTAAAACAATGTATTAAAACCACTGGCCTGCTGGAAAAAGCACTGGAAAGAGAACTGAATTCTGATCTTCATTTTACATCTGGTTGTATCCTGTGTCCTTAGGTAAGTCATTTCTGGGCCCTGGTTCTTCATTTTCAAAAAGAAAATAGCAGGAGCTGATGCTTACAAGATTTCTACCAAAGTTCTAATGATTCCCCTCTAGATCTAATTATGCATTTACAACAAATACAGGGATCAGCAGAACATGTAAACACAATTAGGATATAATCAGCAAACTCTAGACTGGGAGAAATTTTACAACATAAATAATCTGGTTTTGTCCACAAATAAATTGCAGGGTTAACTTAGAGATAAAAGAGACTGAGAAAGTATATAAACCAATTGCAATGTGTGGACCTTCTTTGGATCCTGATTCAAATAAGCATGCTATGAAAAAATGTGAGTCAACTAGAGAAATGTGAACACTGCCTGGATATTTGATATTAAGGACTTGTTAAGTGATAGGGTATTATCATCTTTAAAAATCCTTATCTTTAAAAGATGCATAGTGAAATAACTGTTCTATATAATGTTTGAGATTTGCTTCAAAATAAGCCTTTGATAGAGCAGATAGGGTTATTAGTCGAACAGGAATGTCAAGGAATTGAGAGTTGTTGAAGCTGAGTGGTTAAGACAAACTGAGTGGTTCGACAACTATTTACATTCAATTCATTATATAAATAGCATTCTCTCTACTTTTATGTATGTCTGAAATTTTCCTTAATAAAGACCTTTAAAATGATAAATTTTATAACTCTGTATAATTCTAACAATTGCTAAATTGTTATGAGTCATGCTGGTTTTAAAAAATCCCTTAAATTTGTGCATCATTTCATACAGAGAAATCATCCAAACCTCTTTATTGCACTTGCTACCTACTATTTAGCAATGCTTACAATCTGCTGTAAATTAACATGTTTATCCTCAGCTGTAGGCTATAATCTAAAAATCCAATTAAATCATAAGTTAAGCAACTGGGGCTAGTGCTAAGTCCCCCATCCACAGAGAAAAGCATCTATTTCAACTGACACAAAATGAATACAATGGCTTAGGAGTTCATTATTTTCTTCAACAAAACAGTTTTAGAATGGGGTTAACAAAGGTGGGGTATGGGGCAGCTACTGCTGTAGGTGCAGTTTACATGACAAAGGGTAATATAACTTCATCATTCAATCTGCAACAAGTAGGAATAATATTCTAAACTGCGGAAGATCTTTATGTATGCTTTTCTTCCTTTGGAGTTAAAATATCATGTCTTCCCATGAGACACCAGAACATTATGACATCGTAGGTTTAAGTTTTAGAAACGAGTGACTCTGAACTAAATGTTTCACACACATTCAAGTACAGAACCCACACCTAGGAAATATGTCATTTTCCTGTTGTCATTTTCAATAGCTAAAAATTCCAAACAGAACCACATAATCAAACCAAAAACCAAGTACATAGTTCTGTGTTCTTCTCACCTCAGGTGAAATGAAAACCACAACTTTGAAAGTCTTAGGGGGTTTTAACTAAATATTTAACTTACATATACAATCGGGGATCTGAGGTCAGAGTGTCAACATTGATGTGCTGTTCCAGTAGACTATAGGCCAGGATGGGCAGGGATGTAAAGCAGATATTATACATTGTAAGGTAAGCAGCATCATACAGTGGCTAAAATAAAAAATAGAGGAAAGAAAGAAATTTCATATAACAATCATCTACAAGATGATATTTAATGTATGTGGAAAACTTACTAGCTAAAATAAGAAAGTTTTCTGTCATGCTTTTGGTGCTGGCAAAGGAAACTGTAAATAAGATCACTGCCTAGTAACTACAAAAAAGAATCTAACATATTGTGATGTGTCACATTAATATACCTCCCCTTTAACAGAATCTAATTTAGAATGTTCACATGCTATAAGCTGCGTTTCTAATAGACATTAATAACTTTTCAAAAGATTATTTAGTAGCTAAAACTAGTTATTCAAGATTTACTTCAGCAAAGACCATTAAGTGTAAGTGAAGAATCTTTAGAGAAAATAAATATAGGCAGCAGCCAGCCTGTGTCACCATTGTTTTGGTTAACATTTTACATATTTTTGGTGAGTATTTTCAGGTCCAAATTGTGTATTTTCTAACATCCTCTTCCTGAGAAGCCCTACAGTTTCTCATGGCGTGTGTTATTCCTCCCTGACTGAGAAATAAACCTAATTTGATCAACTCCAAGTGTGGTCCTGGTGGTCTTCGACTGGAGAACTCAGAGAATCTTAAGCTCCTATAACAGAACCTGGTATACAAAAAGCATTCAATTAATACTTGATGAATAAATAAATGAGTATAGATAGAAAACTGTAACATTTCTAAAGGCCTGCTCCTATATTATAAATCTTCCTTTATTGAAAAAATTTAAAGTATTTTATCTACACAGTGCTCAAGATTGTCATACAAACATTTTCTGTGGCCTGAATAAATAATTCCCCATACTTCTATGTGTTTTTCATATTTATAATTGTCCCTTGATTAATAAAATGCATTTAACTATGACACAAATTAACAAAATAATGTATTTTCAATCAATGGCTATGAAAGATAATTACTATCATAATGGAGATTGACTCTAAAAGGCTTGGAATGACTTGAATAGTGCATTAATTACTTCACTAATTGACTGCAGGACATTTACTGAGTGTCTGCTAAATGACAAGTACTAGGGACAGAGTCAACTTATCCCCTGTCCATCAAGGAGGTCAAATTCTAGATGGAGAGGCAGAATGAGAGGTGCACAAGGAGCTGGGGAAGCCCAGAGGAGGGGACAACAACTCTGGCAGCAGGAAAGACAAAGCAAATGATAATGGATGCAACATTCTCCATGAAGTTGAAAGATACTTCCAACATAGTTTCTATAAACCAAGATTTAAGCTCAGTAAAGATATTCCACTGAATTTAAAAGTACAAAAAAGGTGCTGCATTCCTTTTTATTTTCAAAGGAGAGGACTAGTCCGTGGCATATAACACCACACTTTCTTTGAAAACTACTCATTTTCACTAATGAGTAAATTTAAAATAAATACAACTCAGATTGACTAGTGTGTAATTTAGTCTTGAATTTCATTCAAACAAAAGAAGCATCAATCTACTTTTATTTCACTATGGTACTTTAAAATCACATGGCAGATCATTGTAATTCTTAGGTACATAATTAGAATGTCCCCAAAACAAACAGGTTTAGTTGATAATACTGTTTTTTATGAAACCTGTTACAATGTTTTCTTTTCATTAAAAAAAATCTATCCTAGTTTTGCTAAAGAAAGGGAAGCTTTTTTTGGTAAAGAATCTGAATCCTGGTCCATATCTATACTCTTCATAGTCCTCTTTGCAAGTTCCAGAGAATGCCTTAACGGGCTTCTGAACTGAAAAAAGCTGACTGACTACCCATAGGTACTCCAAAGATATTTGCAATAAAAGGTTGCTACATTCAGCACTAACACAAGACCAAAATCAAAATTAAAGATTTTGCATATCACATTACCTCTTGAGCTCTCCTAGTACACTTTTACCTTCCTTTTACCTGGTACATTTTCCTTTAAGATGTCCACATAGTTCCTTCTCTTACCTCCTTCAGGTCTCTGCCCAAATGTCACCTCATCAGAGAGATCTTTCTAGATCTCTAAAACAGCAGCCCTCTCTCCAGTTACACTCTGTCACTTTATAATGCTTTCTTTTTTCCACCATAGCATATATCAGTACCCAACATAATGTATTTGATTGTTATCTTTCATCCTATCACTACACACTGCAAGTTTCATGAGAGCAAGAAAGCTTGTTTTGATCACTGCTATATCCTCACCATGTAACCTGGCACAAAGTAGGCAATCAAGAAACAGTTGAAAAAAAAAAATGAACCTACCAGTTGAACAACAGAGGAGCCCAACATCAACTCCTATGGAACCATAAGCAGTTAGCGTAATCTAAGCAGACTGAAGACATCCACGGTTAGAATCTCAGATGGCTTTATAAGAAATAAGTCATTTTTGCCCTAAAACTTGTGCTTGGTAAACATGTTTTAAAAGAATAACAAAGCAACAGACTCCTTTCAAAATGAAAACTATATTTCCACCAGAACAAGCCAACTTACCTTTAGCACACTGCTACACATTAGTTAAGAGAATTTCAAATAGCTTTTTAATACTTAGATTCATCCAAGAAAGAATGGAATTAGCAACATTTTGCTCAATAGCAATTTGAATGTTCAAGAAAAACAGAATGATCAGAATTTACAAAACTCTCTAATACTATTAATTTCGAATATAAGAAGGTTGATGGCGCTTCCAAAAACTGAAAGATGCTTAATTCATAATGTGAGCTGTTTATAACTGGCACTCCTGGGCTAATGACATGGCACTGAAGTAAGAGACAGAGTACCAAACAGTAAAGAGGCAAATTCAAGAGAAAGAGAACAGTCATTTCCATTGAGAAGAATACATTCTCTTAAAAATACTGCCAAAGAGACTTTAACATCCTACTGACAGTATGAGACAGATCACTGAGGTCAAAAGTTAACAAAGATATTCAGGCCCTGAACTCAACATGTGACCAAATGGACCTAATAGATATCTACAGAACTCTCTATCCTCCCTTCAAACAACGAAATATACATTCTTCTTATCGCCACATGGCACATAACCTAAAATCTATCACACAATTGGATATAACAATCCACAGCAAATTCAAAAAAAAACAAAAATCATACCAACCATACTCTCAAACCAGTGTGACAGAAATTAATACTAAGAAAAATCCCTCAAAACCATACAACATGAAAATTAAACCTGCTCCTGTATGACTTTTGGGTAAATAATGAAATTAGGGTGAAAAACAAGAATTTCTTTAAGAACAAAGATACAACATACCAGAATCTCTGGGACACAGCTAAGAACGTGTTAAGAGGAAAATTTATAGCACTAAATACCCACATCAAAAAGTTAAAAAGAGGGCCAGGTGCGGTGGCTCAAGCCTGTAATCCCAGCACTTTGGGAGGCCAAGGCAGAGAGATCCTTTGAGTTCAGCAGTTCAAGACCAGACTGACCATCATGGTGAAACCCTATCTCTACTAAAATATAAAAATTAGCCAGGTGTGGTGATGGGCACCTGTAATCTCAGCTATCTCAACTACTCAGGAGGCTGAAGGAGGAAAATCTCTTAAACCCAGGAGGCGGAGAAGGCAGTGAGCCAAGATTGTGCCACTGCACTCCAGCCTGGGTGGCAGAGTGAGACTCCCTCTCAAAGGACAAAAAAAGTCGGAAAGAGGTCAAATTGACAACCTAACATCACAACTAGAAGAACTGGAGAAACAAGAGCAAAACCAACTCCAAAGCTAGAAGAAGACAAGAAATAACCAAAATTAGAGCTGAATTGAAGGAAACTGAGATACAAAAAAACCATACAAAAGATCATGAAATCCAGGAGATGGTTATTTGGAAAAGTTTAATAATATATATAGACCACTAGCTAGACTAATAAAAAAGATTCAAATAAACACAATCAGAAATGACAAAGCAGATGATGCCACTGACATAAAAGAAATACCAAAAAAACCCTCAGAGGCTACTATGAACATTTGTATGCACAAAAACTAGAAAACCTACAAGAAATGGTTAAATTTCTGGTCATACGCAACTTCCCAAGACTGAACCAGTCAGAAAACCAGGGATTTCCTGAATACTTGAAAAGACCAATAATGACTTCCAAAACTGAATGGTAATAAAAAGTCTCCTAACCAAAAAAAAAGCCCAGGACCAGACAGAGTCACAGCCAATTCTACCAGATGTATAAAGATGATCTGATAGCATTCCTATTGAAACTATTCCAAAAACTTGAGGAGGAAGGTTTTCTCCCTAAATCATTCTATGAGGCCAGCATCATTCTGATACGAAAACCTTGGCACAGATGCAACAACAACAAAAAAAGAAAACGTCAGGCCAAGATCCTTGATGAAGATAGATGCAAAAATACTCAACAAAATACTAGCAAACTGAATCCAGCAGCACATCACAAAGCTAATCCACCATGATCAAGCAGGCTTTATCACTAGAATGTAAGGTTGGTTCAATATATGCAAATCAGTAAATGTGATTTATTACAGAAGCAGAACTAAAAACAAAAACCACATGATCATCTCAATAGATGCAGAAAAAGTTTTCAGTAAAATTCATCATGTTAAAAACTCTCAACAAACTAGGCAATGAAGGAACATTCTTCAAAATAATAAGAGCCATCTAAGAAAAATCCATAACCAACATCACACTTAAGCAAAAGCTGGAAGCATTCCCTCAAACACGGAAGAAGACAAGGATGCCCTATCTCACCACTCTTATTTAACACAGTACTGGAAGTCCTAGCCAGAGCAGTAAGAAAAGAGAAAGAAATAAAAGGCATCCAAATTGGAAACCCGGAAGTCAAACTATCCCTGTTTGCAAATAATATGATTCAATACCTAGAAAACCTCATAGCCTTGGCCCCAAAAGCTCCTTGATCTGGTAACTTCAGCAAAGTTTCAGGGTATGAAATCAATGGACAACAATCAATAGCAATCATATACACCAACAACATCCAAGCTGAGAGCCAAATCAGTTAACGAAATCCCATTCACAACAGCCACAAAAGTAATGAAATGCCTAGGAGTACAGCTAACCAGGGAGGTGAAATATCTTTGCAATAAGAACTAAAAAACACTGCTCATAGAAATCTGAGATGACACAAACAAATGGAAAAACATTCCATGCTCTTGGATAGGAAGAATCAATATTGTTAAAATGGTCATGCTGTCCAAAGCAATTTACAGATTCAATGCTATTCCTATCAAACTACTAATTACAGTCTTCACATTTAGAAATAAATATTTTAATATTCATATGGCACCAAACAAAGGGCCCAAACAGCCAAGGCAATCCTAGGCAAAAGGAACAAAGCTGGAGACATTACCTGATTTCAAACTGTACTACAGGGCTACAGTAACCAAAACAGCATGGTACTGGTACAAAAACAGACATACAGACCAATGGAACAGAAGAGAGAGCCCAGAAAAAAAGGCCACACATCTATGATCACCTCATCTTCAACACAACTGACAAAAAACAAGCAACGGGGAAAGGAATCCCTATTCGATAAATGGTGCTGGGATAACTCACTAGGCATATGCTGAAGATTGAAACTGGACCCATTCCTTATGCCATATATAAAAATCAACTCAAGATAGATTAAAGACTTAAATGTAAAACCTAAAACTATAACCACTCTGGAAGACAACCTAGGATATACCAGTCTGGACATAGGATCTGGCAAAGATTTCACGGCAAAGATGATTAAAGCAATAGCAACAAAAACAAAAACTGACAAATGGTACCTAATTAAATAGTTTCTGCATACAAGAAGATGATTATCAACAGAGTAAACTTTCCAGAATAAAAAACCTACAAAATGAGAGAAAACATTTACAAATGATGAATGTGACAAATGTCTAATATCTAACATCTATAAAGAACTTAAATAAATGTACAAGCAAAAATCAAACCCCATTGAAAAATGGGCAAAGGACATGAACAGAAACTTTTCAGAAGAAGACATACACGCAGCCAGCTAGCATAGGAAAAAAACGCTCAACATCACTAATCATTAGAGAAATGTAAATCAAAACAAAAATGAGATACCATCTCACACCAGTCAGAATGGCTGTTATTAAAAAGTCAAAAAATAACAGATGCTGGCAAGGTTGCAGAGAAAAGGGAACACTTGAACACTGTTGGTGGGAATGTAAATTAGCCATTGTGGAGAGCAGTGTGGTGATTCCTCAAAGACCTTAAAACAGAATTACCATTCAACCCAGCAATCCCACTACTAGGTATATACCCGAAGGAATATAAGTTATTTTACCATAAAGACACACACACATATATGTTTACTGCAGCACTCCTCATAATATCAAAAACATGTAATCAAACTAAATGCCCATCAATGGTAGACTGGATAAAGAAAATGTGGTACATATACACCATGAAATACTATGTGACCACAAAAAAGAGTAAGATCATGTTGTTTGCAGCAACATAGATGGAGCTGGAGGCCATTATCCTAAGCAAACTAACACAGGAACAGAAAACCAAATACAGCATATTCTCGCTTGTAAGTTGCAGCTAAACAATGAAAACACATGGACACAAAGAAGCGAACAACAGACACCAGAGACTACTTCAGGTTGGAGAGTGAGAAGATCAAAAAGCTACCTATCAGATACTATGCTTATTACCTGGGTGACAAAATAAACTGTACACCAAACTCCTGCAGCATAAGTTTACCTATATAACAAACCTGCACATGCACTCCTGAACCTAAAAATTAAAAAAAAAAATACTGCCAAAGAATTAGAAAAAAATCACTTCCTACCAGTAAGAATCAAGAAGAATACATAAATGTATTCATAAGTGTACTTTGTATTCACAGAAGTGTATGCAAAGCTTGCCTTTGACATTTAGAAACTCAGTCTCTAACACCTATGGCAATGTGGTAGCCCAATCTGGCAAAATCACTGAACTTCTCATAGATTAATTAAAAATTTCTGAGTCACTGAGTATTATAGCTCCTATATTTTGCTATACTTCCCACCAGAAGTTATGCCAAATCCATTTCAGTTGTTAAAATGACGATGCCTTCCCATCCTACCAGTTAGGCATCAAGTTAATATATAGCATACTCCTTATGTATGTTTAGAAAACAATAGAAAGCAAAACATCTATAGCTGCTTTATGTAATCCAAGGCTTTCTCTAGGAATCACAGTTCTCGACTGGCTTAAAGATTAATATTTTCTATAAAACTAATTTGAGAACCTCCAAAGTTGGGAGATTTCATTTAATGAAATATTAAGTTATAACATTTTAGAATTGTGAAACAGATTTTATACAAGGATAAAAAGAGAAATTTCAAAATACTCTTTGTAATGTTATCACAACTCCAACAGGGTGTACCAAAAACATTTCAAAATGATGGTAACAATAAGAAAACTAGTAAAGCAAAGACATAAACGTTTGCTGTTGTCAAAACCAAGAGATCCTTTTACTTTAGACATACATCTCTAATCTCTATAAATCTAACATATAAGGATAATTTATTAACAGTAAATGTAAACATTATAATGAATAACTTGGGAAACAAACCTGTTGTGAGAATCCACAGAAGAACTGGTACAAAAACTGTGGCAAAATGAAACAAAGGTTCTAGAAAAAAAAATTAAGACAAGAATTAACATCTTCACTTAACTTGCTGAACTAAAATGGGAATATATATGCCAAATAGTTTACAACTATTCCTAAATCCTTCTAATGTCAGAATGCAATAAACCTCTATTCCAGAGACACAAGGAAACAACTCAAATAATTATTAATTCATATTAAGACCAACTTTTGCCCTATCAAGGTAGAAGAGGATCTTTTTTACTTTATGAGAAACTCTTGCTATTCTTCTTCCAGGAAAGAAATGAGCTCATCCAATATGAATAGTAAATGGTACTGTATCTTTAACACCAATTAGATTTGCAAATCATATAGTACGCTGACAATGCTGTAAGCATATAAAGTCAATTAATGCCAATAAATAGTTGGGAAACTACTACAGATTATATTGACACTAACAATATCAACAAATGCTTTAATACCTTTATTACTACCTCATCAAGCAATCAACATTTCATTATTGAGCATCTACTATACACAAAGATGGCACATAGGTGATACCAAAAGAAAAAAGTCAACTTCTTTCTCCTAAGTCATGGCCCCCACCCCACCCCTCTCCGAGGCTGCACAACATGAGGTAGCAGCAGGCAAGTGAGCATAACAGTCTGAGGTCCCTGATGCCAAAAAGGTTGGAGATTACTGTCCTAAGGGACTTATTTAATTTGAAAAATACTAAAAAGACAAGCAGAAAAGAAATACAAGCTGGGAATTCATAAGGCAGTAAAAGCTACTAAGTGTGATTATAAAATACTGAAATTGATGTCTTTAAGCAAAACCACTAGGACTAGAATTTTCAAATAAGTGCTATCCTTCAAAACAGGCTGTGAGCTTCTTTGCTGTCACTTGCTCATGGTATCTCTGAACTTCCCTTCAAGAAGCTGCTTTAAGAGCCCACTTTCCAGTCATGCCCGAAAACCAGTCTCCTCCTTTCTGTCAGCTAATTCTCCAGAATTAGCTCTAGGAGACTTGAGACTGTTTGTAAAAATCAAATACAACCTCAAAGGATAAACATCTACCACAGCTGAGGATATTTAGATCTGGAGGACATTTCTAAAGAAATGAGCTCAACATGTTTTGAATCACCCCTGCAGCATGAGTCAGAGCTCCCAAGGTCATCACCTGGAAGAGCAACGCTCATTTTACATTATCAGTTCTGATACAAGGCAAAATGTAGTTCACAGTATTTCTCGAGTCACAGTTTATGTAAAACATAAGTGTTCTAAGGTTAAAGTAGGTAAAGCTCAGTGAGAATCACAGGGTTGCTTCATGAGAAGGGGAGTGAGTGTCTACCTCACCCATGAGAATGTAAGTTTCATGAGAACAGGGACATTACCTGTCTTAGTCCATGGTGTATCCTCAGGTGCCTAAAACAGGACTTGGCACATAATAATACATTTAAAATACATTTGTTGACTGATTGAATAAAGAAGTTAAAACTTGAACTATGAATAAAGATGAATAGGACATGTTTATGGCAGGAACCAAGACAAGAATGTATGTATTTTAAACTTATATGGTAAGACAGGGTCAGACTGTGGGGTGCCTTAAAAGCCAGACTAAAGCTGAGACAATGGAGAGTAAAGTTTCTAAGGAACAAGCTGAAAAGTGGGCATTCTTTTGTTGTTGTTGTTGCTTGTTTATTTATTTATTATACTTTAAGTTCTGGGGTACATGCGTAGATCGTGCAGGTTTGTTACATAGGTATACAAGTGCCATGGTGGTGGTTTGCTGCATCCATCACCCCGTCATCTATATTATGTATTTCTCCTAATGCTATTCCTCCCTTAGCCCCCCATCCCCCAGGCCCGTGTCCGTGTATTCTTTGTTTAACACGAAAAATGGCATTCTTTAAACACTAATCAAGTTGAATTATGTAAGGAGGATTAAATTGAGAAACATATGGCAGGAAGACCTGTCACTGAAGGACTCCATGAGTGAGCAATAACAATTTGAAGATGCAGTGGCAAGAGGAAGGAAAGACTTCTTAGGTCAGCCAAATAGAGTTGAAAATACTAGAAATCCTCTCGGCACAAAAGATATTAATAAAAAAGAAAGACTGCTGAGTCAGTAACCAAGATGATAATGGGCCTAGAGATACTAAGGAAGACAGAGGTTATCAAGTACATAAATAGCTACCGGTCAACATTTGCATTTTAATACTTGTTTTGTTCTTAACAGAGCATTCCTTCCATCTGGTGGCAGTTGCTTGAATTGCAGGCCAAAATTCGAAAGAGGCAAAGTAAGCCTCTGGAATAGGTTCAGGTTACTAGGCAGATCTGTATGACAAATCTTCAAGGGATCTCCTACTAGGTGGAGATCAAGAGAGAATAACCCTTTATTTCCATGAACTGCTGGGTACAAGGCCCAACAGACCCTAACTGTGACACAGGAAAAGTCATGGATTTGGATTAAATGAGTCTATGGTGGAACATCTAGCTCTGTCACTTCCAGAGTTATATCATCTTTCTGAGCTCTATTTTCCATGTATGTTAAATGGAGATAATACTACTTTATTCATAGGATGTTTGTGAGTATTACATTTTTTAAAAAGTGATTTTGTGAACTCACAAAATACCTTACATATATTGGGTTACCATCATCATCATCATCATCTCTCTCCTCCCATAGTGTTTGGCCTGGCTACCAAAGGATACTGGCTGGCAGGGTCTTAGAAAATCTGTGAAACTGGGTTCACAATTTCATAAACATATATTTTCATTAATATAAAGTTAGAAAGACCTAGGGTTGACTATAGACAACTGACACACGAAATCAGTTGCTGAGCTTTAGCTCTTGTAAACTACAGAGTATGAAATTCAAATATCATAACTACTTGAATCATATACTAAATTCCACCGGATTCGAGTAGTTGGAACATACACTTAATACTATACCTACAAACTAGAATCTAATTAAGAAATTTGGTAAATTCTATTCCCTGGAAGACAACAACAGGTATGCAGACTCACTCTAATGTATACTCTAATGCTTGGTGATAAAAGGAAACCAAGGTATTGTTGAGGAAACCACTTCAGTGTCCAATATTGGGGATTTGTGATGTTGCACAATCATGTTTTGAAGAATATTAAATTGGATGAGAAAAATGTTCACAATATAAATTAAATGAAAAAGGCAAGTACAAAGCAATATGTATTATACCAATAGGTACATGGTCTCTTTTGGGAATGATAGAAAAGTTTTATAATTAGACAGCGATGATGGTTGCACATCATAGTGAACACATTATAAGTCACTGAATTATACACTTTAAAAGGGTGAAATTTAGGCCAAGCATGGTGGCTCAAGCCTGTAATCCCAGCACTTTGAGAGGCCGAAGGGGGCAGATCACTTGAGGTCAGGAGTTTGAGACCAGCCTGGCCAGCATGGTGAAACCCTGTCTCTACTAAAAATACAAAAATTAGCTATGCACGGTGGCATGTGCTTGTAATCCCAGCTACTTGGGAGGCGGAGGCATAAGAATCGTTTGAACCCAGGAGGCGGAGGCTACAGTGAGCTGAGATTGCGCCACTGCACTCCAGCCTGGGCAATAGAGCGAGACTGTCTTTAAGGAAAAAAAAGGTAAATTTTGTTAAATTATATATCAAAAAAATTTTTTTAAACCCATATGTAGAGTATAGTGTATAAAAGTATAAAAATAATATGTACACACATCGATTTATATAGACAAAAGACCAGAAGGTCACATATCAAATGTTACCACTGGTTCTCTTGGTTGGCATGTTTATAGACAATTACAAATGACTGCAAAAGTTTCATTTTAGAAAATCCTTATTTTTGTAGAGACAAGGACTCATTATATTGCCCAGGCTGGTCTTGAAATCCTGACCTCAAGTGATTCTCCTGCCTTGACCACCCAAAGCACGAGGATTATAGGAATGAGCCATTACCAGGCCAAAATGTTCTATTTTTTTGATTGATGTGATGGTTACATGGATGTATACATTTGGTAAAACTCATGGAACTGTACACTTTTGATGAATACACTGTTTGTATTTAATTTATGCTTCAATAAAGAGGGGCTTAAAAATTCCTATCGAATATTTTACATCAAAAGGCATTTCTGGTTTCTGATTCATTCAATAGACCACCTCTGCTTTGTTGACTACAAATTTCAGTATGACATAGAAAAAGCAGCATGAAAAAAGGAACAAAACCATGACCAAGCTGAGCCAATGCTGGATTTAAGCAAAATTAAATTACATATATTTTATCACATACCTTATAGAAGAAGTACTGTACAAGGTGTGCTATTCTCACATAATATAGATGTCCATGAGCCAAAAGCAGTTTCTTTAAGTGTTTAAACTTTGGAACAGAATAATCGCTATTCCTAGCTGCTTGGCGACCTTCTTTGCCTTTAATACCTAAAAGACAGTATCTCTATACAGTGAGTATTTTCTAGAATAAATGACTCGCAGATTTAGTTTCATAGTTTCAACTTGGTTAAATGTCATAGTTCGATTCTATCATTTAGTTTCCCCTTTTTAAAAACCAAAGGGGTAGTTAACAGTGACACTGAGACTTACCAAATAATTTAACTAGGTTTAACTGGTAACTCCCTATTTGTAACACAACATATAATAATTAAATAGAATCATTATTTCAATCATTACAAGGCAAAAATTATATGAAGGAAAAAAATTCAACTTAAAAATGATTAAGTCACTCATTAATTGCTTAATTGTGTATGATGCTAGACTAGGTGTTTTAAGGCAACTCAGAAACCTGGGGTTTGTGGTCTAGAAGCTCAATGATAAAACAGTGAAATTCTTTCATGAATGAAACCCTGACTAGCAGTGCAAGGGTTCTATGAGCTTGAGTAGCTTTAGGCCATTTCCATACTTGGATAACTAAATAGGACTACTTCCAAATGGAAAGAACGATTTGGGAATCTAAACTGCAGCACAATAATTCCCAAGATATGAATTCCATATCTGGCCCCACCACCCTGCCAAAACAAACAAACTAGCTAACTAACTTGCTGAGGAGTTAGTTTTGTTGCCTAACAGCAACCTAAGAAGGGAAAAAATGGTACAGGTGGTAGAAAAGCTGTTGCTGCACGTCAATATATAAATTCAGCACTACAGCCCAAACTACCCATAAATACTGCCACACTGAAAAACAGCCAACCAATTATCATTTCTTAGCTCCAAACAGTTGAGATCTCAAAAGATATAGTACAGCAACATAAGTAGGCAGTCTGGCCAGGAGCAGAAAATCAATAAAAATTTCATGCATGCTGTCAAAGTAAGAGCTAAACAATCAATTGTGCTGCCACTAGCTTTGGGAAATTCACTTTACTTAGCTAATTGAAAAATATCCTTTAACTTTGTAACACTGCTACATTTCTACCACAGGGTAGACCTTGGGATGGACATGTTGCATGATCAGATGAGGCCTTCATTTACTTAACAATTATCATTCCAAAACTCAAATTCAAGATGAGCAATCAAAACAGTCACTCTAGAATATAAGACCACACTACCTAAAAGCAATACTGGTACTTTTTACAGCTGCCATCTCATTAGATATATCTTACCTATTCCCACATGGGATTCCAAGATCATACTAACATCATTGGCACCATCACCTATCGACAGAGTTATTGGGCTGCCTTTTAAATTCTTCACCATTCTGACAATCTAAATATTAAATACAAAAGAGGTATAAAAACGGTCAAAGAAGAATGTAAGATTGGACTACTTTAGGGGTTTATGCCTCATTCACACTTGTACATAGTGACCTTGCAAACAGAAAGGTAGTTTGTGCATATATAGTCATCCCTCAGTATCCTTGTAAGATTGGTTCCAGTACCCTCATAGATACCAAAATTGTCCTGCATACTTTAAATTATCTCTAGGTAACTCTGAATACCTAACTACAATATAAATGTTATGTAAATACTATATTGTATTAAAATCTGTATAATTTTTATTGTTATATTGTTAATTGTTTAAGTTTTATTCTAACGTTTTCAATCCAGTTGTTTGGATCTGTGGATGTAGGACCTGTGGATACGGAGGGCCAACTGTAATATGTACAATAGTGTCAAATTCATAGATGCAGAAGAACACAGCCATTCAAACTGTAACACCAACACCAATTTGTCCTAGTTCTGTACATACATGAACTATCAAAAAAATTGCCTCTCATGTATATTAGAGGTCAATACATTTCCTTCTTTTTTGATTGCATCATGTGTTATTTCAGATCCGATGTTGAATGTGTGACAGAAGCCAGGAAGTTGATTTGGGGTAACATATATAGGGCCACTAGAACCAAGTGGAAAGTCAGAGAACAATGTTTTTGGTTACTTTCTACTCTCTCCTTGCTGCTGACACTCTCACCTTTTCTAGGAGCACACGAACCCTCATTCCTAGGAACCTACCTAATGTTAAATTCTTGCATCTATCTGGCTGCCAACTAAACTTTAATAAATCTCTCACTGCTCAATATGATCTGACCTCTCCTATGAGTAGCTATATTTTAAAAGATGTATACTAAAGGGGCTGACATTTGCAGAAAGATGCCCAAGATATGTGTACAAAGTCTGTCACTATTCCCTGAGTGTTTTTTTAGATCAAAGCCTGTCACTATTCCCTGAGTGTTCTTCAAGATGTATAAATGATACTGTGTAATTCAGTGCCATGTTCATGACAGGTACTGAATAAAATGTTCATCCCTGGTACTAAAATACTTCTGCCTTGTGGTTCCTCCAAAAACCTTCTGGCAGAGTTATTTGTCGGAAGTCTATTGGGTAATCAGCTGCCCTCCTTCCCTATGTTTTAGATAATCACTGTTAGATGTGGCAAGCCACAAAACCCCTTGGAATCTAGCAGCTTTAAAAAACTTAAGTAATTTAGTAGCTAAATAATGCTTTGCAAAAATACTGTCCTCACAATTACTCTGACCAGTTAACATAAATAAAATCTATTTTTAACCTAACTGGAGTGACTAAAAATAATTCATATGAGGCTAAGGCACCCTTTAAATATTAGAATTCAATCAGATTGTAGTCGTATTAAATGGTACAAAAAAAACCCACATCCAATTCCACTTAACACAAAAATGTTGTGTCTACGAAATGCCAGCTTTCCCCAATCCCTCCCCCTCAGGTTGGTTCCTCTTAAAAACTTTATAGAGGACTATCAGAAATAACCTGTAAGTGAAAGAATAAAAGACAAAATTAATGAACCCAAACTAAATTTGTTTGTAATAGGCTACAACAATGGTTAACTAAATGCACATGTTATATTGTGTGCAGTAATGATTTGCACGTCAAGGAAAAAATACACAGCCAGGGAAGGTTTAGAGAAGGCAATAAAATTATCAAGAGTGACAGCTTCTGTATGAAAATATATACTAAAAAGAGTAAAACTCATCCTTGTGGAAAGACAAAAGGGTATTCAATCCTGGACCATAAAATAATGAAGGATTTAGATTGGTAAACATGAACTTTTTCACTTAGCCCTAGGTCAACTGGATTAAGACCTCTCAATCTCTAGGATAGTTTCATGAAAAAAAAAGTTACCAAACATTGTTTATTCATCAACTATAATAGCTTGTGTTATATTATATATGGGAATGTGCTAAGAGCCAAAACAGACAGTTTCATCACACACCTTAAAAAGCATATAAATGAAGTAGTAGAGTTAGGTCATGAGTACAATATTACATAAACAGATTAACAATACAAGGTAACAAAACATAGCATCTGTGCAGGGTTACGTGATATTGTCATTCACATAAGAAGGCCTAGGATGTCAGAGAAGGGAGAAGACACCACATGCCCAAGTGATCAGAAATTTTACAGAAGGAAAAGTGATTTGATCTAAATCACAAAATATTAGTTAAGACTCGCATAGACAAGAAAGAAAAGAGTATTCCAGAGAAAGGGATTAGCATATCCAAGAGCACACAGCCAAATAAATACAGTACATGCTGAGAGAAGAGATCTGGCTTGCCCAGATCAATTGGAATTTTCATATAGGGGACATGGACAGAAATATCTGGAGCTAGTTCAACAGGGAGTGATATGAAAGTGGCAGCAGGGTGTAGGAACAACTGGAAGAAAGCAAGACTATAGGCAAAGAGAGAAGTTAGGTGGCTAGTTCCAGAAGTCCAATGAGCTATTGAAAGGCCTGGCTCAGAAAGGTAATGAAAAGAAAGGAATAGACGGAAAAGACAATGTAATAAGAAATGGACAACATTTAGTTACTAAGACCACAAACCACAATGGAAGAGTAAAGTATGTGGAAAGGCAATACAGGTTTCAAGGTTTTGAATCTAGAAATCTTGAAGTACACCGAGGTCAGTCACAGAAAAAGAACATGCCAAGGAAAATGATGGTTGGACTCTAGAGAAGTTAGATTTGGGGTGATAATGCCACACCTAAGAATATGTGTTTGGCTGAAGAAGATGATTACCAAATATTTGGATTGGGGATAGTGGCTTGAATATCACCTATGTGAACATGACAGCTAAGTATGTAATATCCTGCAAGAAATGACTATACTGACAGAAATAAAACAAAATGAGGATTAAACCACAAGTGGTGGCATAATCAAGGTAGAAGCAGCAGCATGGGGTCAGGAATTCATATACCTGCCTGACAATGAAGCAGTCAGAACCCAGGTGAACAATTTGAGCAGCACAGACTGAATGTAAGGAAAAAAGAAGAGGTTGCTTTTGCAGGCAAACCTCTGACTAAGGGGACCGACACTTTTGGATAGTATGTTCTGGTTGAAACTGATTCCCGACCTATGGCCAAGAGAGGTTTTCAAGATTGAAGAAAAGAAAGAAGAACCTCTGATTGCAGTGGGGACTGAGAAATAAAAGGCAGACAGGACAAATGCCCCATATACTATGAGGGGGTGCACGTGTGTGTGTGTGCGCGCGTGTGCATGTGCATGCACACATTAGGTAAAGGAAAAGCCACAGACACAGCCATCCCCTTTAGAGCAACTGGTTAAAGAATCTGATGAAGCAAGACTAACACATATGAAAGAATATGGAAACGAAAAAGTATGTAATGGAGACTCTAAGTTTCCTCATACCTAGTGAATACAAAGAAGCAAGGTGAGGCAAATCAATTTGGACTGGAGGAACCGGAAAAGATAGCATGCAGGAGGTGGCCCTTTAGCTAGGTTTCATTATGAGTAAAATTTTTGTTAGACCAGGAAAATTCAGAAAAAATGCCAGATGAGGAAATGACATGACAAAAGTTTTCAAAGTTGCCCTGAGCATGACATATGGAAGACCACAGAGTAACAACCAACAGGAGTGGAGAATTTAGCCAGAGAAAGGAGTGATAGTGGACACAAAGCACAAAATACTTAGAGACATGTTAAGGGACAACAATGGGGAGCCCCATGTACCACATTCAGTCAACTGCCCTTCATCCTGAGAGACTATGAAACTACTGAAAGTGTCTGAGAAAGAATATATGATGGGAAGAGTTGTGTTTTAACAAGATTAATTTGGGAGTGTGGACAGATTAAAAATGGATGGGTGAAAGGAAGGAGACCAGTGAGGAGACTAAATCAAATAGGCTATGTGTAAAGTCATAAGCGCTTGGACTAGTCGGGCAGTAAAAAGTTTTGAAATACGACATCAAAATGAGAGCTATGACAAAAGGTAGGACCAATAGGACATGGTGTCTATATATAGAGGGAAAGGAGAGGGATCAAAGGTAGTTTTGAGACATAGGGAACGAGAGGAAAAATAACACTGGTAACAAGAACAATATAAAAAAAAAACCAAACTGGTCTGAGGAAGAACATTTTAAGATCTGTGTTGGACACTAGAATTTTTGTGACAGTAGGGAATCCATATAGAGTTGTCTAGCAGACAGGTAGAAGTAGGAGACTTAATGTCAAGAAAAAGTCAGGGCCACACATTTATCAATGGGAGTCAGAGAAATAGATGTGCTTATCCAGTGAGAGACCATAAAGTTAAAAGTGGAGAGAAAACTTTGCCCTAGAAAAAAACAGATAATTAGGGAGAAAATAGACAACAGCACAAAATAAAAAGCCACTAAGTTGACAAAATGTCAGGACCATGGACCATCACAGAAACCATGAAAGGATAAGTTTAAGGAGGATATAATTGACGGTGTCAAGTGCAAAGGAGAAATGAGAAAGAGAATGGAAGACTACATAAGGGATGGGCCAGGTCTACCTGCAGGCAAGCCAAGGGAGTAAGAAGAGCAGAAAGAACACACAGAGCTCATGTCATAAGGGATCTAGGAGCAGTGGCAGCAAGCACAAAGCACTCATCAGAGAAAAAAGTCTGGAAGGTGAGGAATTGGGACAGCCAGACTGAGGGGACAACAAGGTACAGCATAAGTTTAATTCAAAATGGGGAAAGACTTCTGAATCTGATTACAAAAAGAAAGAAGCCTGGGAGGAAGACATTAGATGGCAATAACGGCCTTTTGAAGAAGAAATAATTTAAAAAAACAAATAAACATTTGCACATAAGTGTATAGAAATATCCAGAATGGAACATTAACTAATGTTCACAGTTACCTGGGCTTTCTGTAATGGTGCCATCCGACAGCAGAGCACTGCAGTACACTTCATACATATTTGTAGGAAAATGCTTTTGTAATTGTTTGAACTAGAGTCTTGACTGGAATTTAGTATGAGTGACAATGTAGAGCCATCTATAATTAATCCATATTCCTGATGTTCTGTCCATGCTCTGAAAAAGACAAACAATGCTGTGTTTGGATCTATTATACATTTCTGTTTAGGATCCAGATTTTTTTAACCACAAAGGGGGCTGTTCCAGGTTAAGAGGAGTCGTCAGTCTGGTTCCTTGACCTGTTCACTCTAAAGAAGCAAGGGCCTCTAATAATGGCATAACAGTGACTTGCAATCCTACCTTTGAGACTCAAGTTGCACATATAGATGACTGTAAATTCCAAAAGGTCAACTTGGTGAGGCTACATTTCCCAGTTATTTAACCAAACAAGTGTCTAAGCGTTGCTGTAAAGGTACTTTGTAGAAGTGATCAAAGTCCAAAAGCAGTTGATTTCAAGTAAGAGAGATCACCCTAGTTAACTAGAGTGGGCCTGATTCAGTCACTTGAAAGGTTTTAAGAGAAGAACTGAGACTTCCTGACACAGTAGCCTTAGCTACTTCCTGAGATTCTGCATTTCTAACAAGCTGCCCAGTGACAATGGAGCTGCTATTCTATAGATGAAACTTTGAATAGTGAGGGCCTCGTATAGTTCATCACTCCTTTATTCTATATTCCTTCAGTATATACTGCTAATACCATAATATTTTATACTTACCCTTATTTTGCTGCATAATTTTATTCACTAAATAAAGAGATGTCAATGATTGTGTTCTCTTTCTTTGCTCCCCTACTCATATATTAATAGCTTACTTATGGGGCTGAAAACAGCAACTCAATAACCAATGAAGAAATACTTGTGAACACCAACTATAAGCTCACTATATAGAGGAATACAAAGAATTACTGACTAATCTTTTTATGGAAAATAGAAAATCTCCTTACAGTGATGGAAGCATACATGAAAGAACATACCCAACCAAACAAGATAATCAATGGTTAATGCTCGGTTATTGAGACATATGCACACAGAAAATAGTGAATTCTCTGTGAAGTGTGGTATCTAAAGTAGGACTTGAAAGACAAGGAAGAGGTGAAGTAATAGAATGTATGTTGGGGTGCACTGGAAAAGCACGTTGAAAAGGTCACTTAAGGCCTGTGGTGTGGCCTGAATCTGTGGGTAATAGAGAACCACCAAAGGTTTCTAAGCAGCAATGTGATAGGGATAGTATTTCACTTAAAGATCATTCATCTGGCAGAGGGGCTTAAGGGATTTCATGCTTGAAGTACTAGGCCTCTAATGCGGGACACTAGTAGTAAAAATGGGAGTATGAATAAGGCTTGGGGGCTGATTTGAAGGGGAAATGGCAAAGGAGCAGAAGCCGGCAAAGGTGACTCTGAGTCTGAACGCTGTGTAAGTAAGCAGAGAAAAGACTGTGCCCTACTCCACACAGATAACCAGGAAGATGGGTTGATCTGAGACAGTCATAGAATGCTAAATTTTCCTTAAGCTCTGGCTTTTATAGAAGTCCCTTCAGGGCTGTTGAATGGTGCTACAGACTGAATTGTGTTCCCTCGCAAATTCATATGTTGAAGTCCTACCCTCAATGTGATTGTACTTGAAGATAGCACCTTTAGTGGGTGAGGCCCTCATAATGGGATGTGTCTGTAATAGACTGAATTGTGTTCTCCCAAGATTCCTCTGTTGAAGCTCTTAACTCCCAGTGTTGTGTTATTAGAAGGTGGGGACCTTGAGAGGTAACTGACTGATGTAGTTTGGCTATGTCCCCACCCAAATCTCAACTTGAATTGTACTTCCAGAATTCCCATGTGTTGTGGAAGGGACCCAGTGGGAGGTAACTGAATCATGGGGGCCAGACTTTCCTGTGCCATTCTTGTGAGAGTGATGTCTCATGAGATCTGATGGGTTTATCAGGGGTTTCCACTTTTGCTTCTTCATTTTTCTCTTGCCACTGCTATATAAGAAGTGCCTTTTGCATCCCGCCATGATTCTTAGGCCTCCCTAGCTATGTGAAACTATAAGTCCAATTAAACCTCTTTTTCTTCCCAGTGTCAGGTATGTCTTTATCAGCAGCATGAAAACAGATTAATATAGTAAATTGGAACCAGTATAGTGGGGCATTGCTGAAAAGATACTTGAAAATGTGGAAGTGACTTTGGAACTCAGTAAGAAAGAGGCAGAGGCTGGAAAAGTTTGGAAGGCTCAGAGAAGACAGGAAGATGTGGGAAAATTTGGAACCTCCTAGAGACTTGTTGAATGGCTTTGACAAAAATGCTGATAGTGATATGAACAGTAAGGTTCAGGCTGAGGTGGTCTCAAGATGAGGAACCTGTGGCCAGGCACGGTGGCTCACACCTGTAATCCCAGCATTTTGGGAGGCTGAGGCTGGTGGATCACGTGGTCAAGAGATCGAGACCATCCTGGTCAACATGGTGAAACCTCGTCTCTACTAAAAAAAAAAAAAAAAAAAATTAGCTGGGCATGGTGGCACGTGCCTGTAATCCAAGCTACTCAGGAGGCTGAGGCAGGAGAACTGCCTGAACCCAGGAGGTGGAGGTTGAGGTGAGCTGAGATCGTGCCATTGCACTCCAGCCTGGGTAACAAGAGCAAAACTCCGTCTCAGAAAAAAAAAAAAAAAAAGATGAGGAACTTGTTGGGAACTGGAGCAAAGGTGACTCTTGTTATGTTTCAGCAAAGAGACTGGCAGCATTTTGCCCCTGCCCTAAAGATTTGTGGAACTTTGAACTTGAGAGAGATGATTTAGAGTATCTGGTGGAAGAAATTTCTAAGCAGCAAAGCATTCAAAAGGTGATTCGGGTGCTTTTAAAATCATTTCATTCCAAAAGGGAAACAAAAGCTCAGAAAATTTGCAGCCTGACTACATAAAAGAAAAGAAAAAACCCATTTTCTGAAAAGAAATTCATGCCAGCTGCAGAAATATGCATAAGTAGCAAGGAGCCTAATGTTAATCCCCAAGACCATGGGGGAAACATTTCCAGGCCATGTCAGAGACCTTCACAGCAGCCCCTCACATCACAGGCACTTTGGGAGTGTGTAGCCTAGGGATTTGGTGCCCTGTGTCCAAGCTGCTCCAGCCATGGCTTAAAGGGGCCAACGAAGAGCTTGGGCCATGGCTTCAGAGGGTGGAAGCCCCAAGTCTTGACAGCTTCCACATGGTGTTAAGCCTGTCAGTGCACAGTCAAGAACTGAGGCTTGGGAACTACCACCTAGATTTCAGAAGATGTATGGAAATGCCTGGGTGCTCAGGGAAAAGTTTGCTGCAGGGATGGGGCCCTCGTGGAAAATCTCTGCTCAGGCAGTGCAGAAGGGAGATGTGGGGTCAGAGCCCTCACACAGAGTCCCTACTGGGGCACTGACTAGTGGAGCTGTGAGAAGAGGAAGAACATCCTTCAGACCCCAGAATGGTAGCTCCACTGATGGCTTGCACCATGCACCTGGAAAAGCCACAGCCCCTTAATGCCAGCCGGCAAAAGCATCCAGGAGGGAGGTTATACCCTGTAAAGCCACAGGGTATAACCTTGGGCAGAGCTACCCAAGAACCCACCTCATGCATCAGCATGACTTGGATGCAAGACACAGAGTCAAATTTTGGCTGGATTTCGGGCTTGCATGAGCCCTCTAACCCCTTTGTTTTGGACAAATTCTCTCATTTGGAATAGCTGTATTTATGCAATACCTGTACACCATTCTATCTAGGAAGTAACTAGCTTGCTTTTGATTTTATACAAGCTCATAGGCAGAAAGGACTTGCCTTGTCTCAGATGAGACTTTAGACTGTGGACTTTTGGGTCAATGCTGAAATGATTTAAGACTTTGGGGGACTGTTGGGAAGACATGATTGGTTTTGAAATGTGAGGACATGAGATTTGGAAGGGCCAGGGGTGGAATAATATGGTTTGGCTGTGTCCCCACCCAAATCTCAATTTGAATTGTATCTCCCAGAATTCCCATGTGTTGTGGGAGGGATCCAGAGGGAGATAATTGAATCATGGTGGCCGATCTTTTCCTGCGCTATTCTCGTGACAGTGAGACATCTGATGGGTTTATCAGGGGTTTCTACTTTGGCTTCTTCCTCATTTTTCTCTTGCTGCCACCATGTAAGCAGTGCCTTTTGCCTCCTGCCCTGATTCTGAGACCTACCCAACCATATGGAACTCTAAGTCTAATTTAACCTCTTTTTGTTCCCAGTTTTGATATGTCTTTAACAGCTGCGTGAAAACAGACTAATACACTGACTTTAGATGAGTTAATGAAGGTGGGGCCTCAATGATGGGATTACTGCCCTTATAAGAGGAAGACACAGCCTGGGCATGGTGGCTTATGCCTGTAATCCCAGCACTTTGGGAGGCTGAGGCAGGCAGATCACCTGAGATCGGGAGATCGAGACCAGCCTGACCAACATGGAGAAACCCCGTCTCTACTAAAAATACAAAAAAATTAGCCAGGCATGGTGGTGCATGCCTATAACCCCAGCTACTCAGGAGGCTGAAGCAGAAGAATTGCTTGAACCCGGGGGACAGAGGTTGCGGTGAGCCGAGATCACGCCATTGCACTCTAGCCTGGGCAACAAGAGTGAGACTTTGTTTCAAAAAAAAAAAGAGGAAGAGACAATAGAGCTCTCTCTGCCATGTGAGGACACAGGAAAAGGGCAGCCATCTGCATGTCAGAAGAGAGCCCTCACCAGAAACCAACCATGCTGACACTCCAGTAACAGAACTTTAGCCTCCAAAACTGTGAAAAACAAATTTCTGCTTTTTAATCCACCCAAACTATCGTATTTTGTTATAGCAGCCCAAGTAGACTAAGACAAAAGGAGAAGTAAAATGCACATATTTTGGACTGTCTTTATAAGTACCACTTGGCTAAAGGAAATCTTTCTCATAGGCAATTAATAAAAACCTATTTATTCTCACTGATGCCCAAGTACTAGAAGAACAACAGCTGTTTTAAAATTGGCCATAGCCTCATGAATGTGAGCTATTCATTTTTAAAGTTTAAATATTAGAGATGAGGATACAGATATAGCATAGTTGTTATAAGCATGGTATCTGGAATTAGATAGACTTTCTGAACTCCTTCTTAGCTGTGTGATCTCTACTTGTAAAATGAAGAAAATACAGTTGCCTAACTGGGTTGTTAATGAAGATTAAATGACAATTATCATACAAAGCCCTTAACACTGTTCCTGGAACATAAAGTGTGCTCAAGAAATTAAAAATAATATTGCTTAGGGATATTTCGAGTTAGTACAGACACATCCCGTGGCACTCCAAAAAAGGAAATCAATTTGCTTATGGCCAACGTAAATTCAAGTAATTGGTTTAGATAAGGCTGACCCTTGGTCAATGGGAAGTACAGAAGATATATGTCTGGGAATTGAATTATTGTGTATCAGTGGCTTTCCCTGACACCTTTATGTTCCACAAATTCTTCCTAGTTGAAAGCAGAGTCAAAGCGGCCATGTCCTCTTAAATAAAGTGGCCACGTTAACAAGTATTTGGTTCCCTTTGGAGCTGTGGGGTATAAAAATGCACATAAAATGGCTCCAGAACCTCAAAATGCACGAAAATTGTCATAGAGATTGATTTTATTACATTTAATTTAAGAGACTGTGAAAACAATATTTATTTCTTAACATGGACCAGGCCATAATATAAACATTGAATATCTAGACTGTAAACATTTAAAAATTGAGCTATTTTTCTAAACCTTCAGAAATGTGCAGTTTTCTTTTAAGTTAAAAGAAAGGTGGAAAGTGCCAAATAATCTCCAAATGGGCCATTAGTCAAGTCCTCAGGGACGATTTTAACTTATAACGATAAAACACCTGCAAATAGAAAATCATAAATTACAGAAAGTGAAGCCTTGTATATATGCAGCTGTGATTTACATCTGCACCAATGTCTAAATATAAGAAACTGATGTACTTTCTTACTTTTTAAGGCTTCTAGTACTTTTAGGAAATTCATGCAGCAGTTTCTTACGATATTCTATCAATAATTCATGTAATCGATCTTCTTTCCTTTCACTTTCTTCAATGGTTTTTGTGGTTAGTTCTAAGAGCTCAGTGTTGGTTTGGAAAAGGCGGCAGGCATAGCACGTGGATTTAGCTGTCTCCATCTTGTCGCCAGTGAGCACCCAGACTTTCAGGCCTGCTGCATGCAGAGCTTCAATGGTCTCTGCAGCTTGATCTTGTAGCCTGGGAACACAAAAGAAACCTTGTGATCTTCTAAAATTCCTGACAAAGATTCTACAGGAAGACTTGTTAAAGACAGTATTTTATAATTCATAGCAGTTCTAGAGTCCTGACACCTTATCATGGTTGGCTTTCATATACATTCCCTACTCATTCCAATGTTGTCTCTGGCATAGTTTCACTTATTAAATTTTAAACGATGAAGTTCTGAAAAGTTTGTGACACCTCAAAGTAGCTGGTATCCAATGGCAGAATTGAGTATCATCATTCTAAGCTAAGATGTTCAGAAACATCTGTACTCACTGTCACTTTAGCATATTTCATTGCTGTATCTAACCATACCAATACTTAACATCACTTAACATCATTCAAAGTATAAAGGGCCAAAGATTCTAATCAGATAATGAGGGAAATTAGTGAATCCCTATCCCTGAGGAGCTTTAAGAACAGGAACATGGGTTTTGAAGATGGCTGACTAGGGACGTCAGATGCCAACTGGCCTCATAAAAAAGATCAAAGTTACTGGTGAATGGACATGTTCTGAACTAAAAACTGCAGGAAAAGAGCCAGGACCTGTTGGAGAGCCCACAAGAGGAAGCTGGGATACAGAAAAGGAAAGTAGTGAGAGTCTGGTAGAGACTGACCTCCGAAGAACTCAGAGCCCCATGTAAAGGGTAGGTGGAAATCGTTCTCTGCTTCCCTGATCCTGTGACAATCTTCTGACTATCAAACTGCTGGGATACCCCTCTGCCCTCCTTACCTAGGGTAATGCTGTCAGTGGTGATACAGGAACTTCACAGGGACAGAGATCCGGGTGGCCAGCTCATGCAGGCACGTCAGTACTCCCCTCAGACAAAAACTTAGATGGTGGGAACCATTCTGTTGGTGCTGCTGTGATGGGCCAATGCTCTACCTAGGGGAATCTCTGCCCTTGCATTATCACACCATCAATCCCCAGCAAACATACTCCACAACCCACTCTGACTTTGGCAAGCTCAGGGGGATTAGCGAATCCCCAGGGAGTAATGGACTCCTGGAGATCTATCTCTCGGCATGGAATGCCCCTAAGGGGGAGGTTACAGCCCACCAAGGACCCTCCTGGGACAAAGGAAATGTGGACACAGTGACAATCACTGAAGTGGGTAGCACTGAGGGCCAGGAACAGTCAGGGAGAGGGGACATTTCCCACTGCGCCTACCCTCTGTACACTGTTGTTGATGCAGCCTGCAGTGGTTCTTCCCAGGGAAGGGTGGCGCATATGTACCTGGAGAAACTTTTCACACTTTTCATAGTAGCTACACCTCTGCTGAAAATGAGCTCGTGCCAATTGGGCTTACACAAAGGGCAGGACCCAACTCCCACTCCCTACACAGAGTAGCAACATCCCAGCAATGGACAGGTAAGCTGCAGAGTTGTCTGCTTTGAACTTGGGGGAAAGGCTTGGCCAAAGCCCATTTGGGTGGCAACCACCACAGAGGTGTATTCATGGTCTGCAGCCACACTGTGACCAGGAACCAAAGAATAAAGTCTATATGAACTGAAGGTTGTGAGCCCTACAATGGGGCATAACAGAGAAGCAGCTCACGTTCCTACCTGCACAGGATGAGGAGCTGGTACATCCCTCCTTGTTCTTTCCCCCAAGACCTTGGCAAACGCCAACAGGATCTCCACCCCTTATCCCCATCCTCCCCTCAGGGTAGGTGCTTCCACCCATCATCAGCCTACCAGAGAAAGAAAAGACTATTACTCTTAAGCTCCACCTACTGGACTGAAGCCTGAACTGCACCACCAAATAAGTAACTTACTGTCAGAAGGGCTTAGTGCTAGTACACATGACAGGCTTTCTGACACCCTTAGCCCTGTGGGAGACAGTGTGTTGGCCCTTGCATTCCATACCTCACTACAACAATCAGCATCTGAGAAAGCTACTGCACTGAAGCTATCCACAACCAAGAAAACCATACAGAGCCTTGCCCCACTGCAAGCACCCAGAAACAAAGCCAAACAATCATATACAACATATAACACAGTCATATCCTCAAGGGAAAAAAGTATTGAAAAATAAAAATGTTTCATCCAAACTACAGCAAATTAAAAAATAAGAAGTGACAGATCCCTCAGATGAGAAGAAATCAGTGTTAAGAACTGTGGTGGTATGAAAAGTCAAGGTGTTGTGACACATTCAAAGGACTGTATTACCTCTGTACTACAGGCTAACCAGAATGAAAACTCTGAAATGACAGATAAGGAATTCAAAATATGGATTGCAATGCAACTCAACGAGATCCAAGAGAAAGTTGAAATCCAACACGAAGAAACCAGAAAAATGATTCAGGATATGAAAGACAGCTATAATAAAACAAACCAATTAGAACATCTGGAAATGAAAAATTCACTATAACAATTTCAAAATACAGCTGGAAGCTTTAATAATAGAGTAGACAAGCAGAAGAAAGAATTGCAGAGCTTGAAGAGCAGTCTTTCAAATTAACCCAGTCAGATAAAAAAAAAATTAAAAAACACAAGCAAAGTTTTTGAGAAACACGGAATTATGTAAAGCAACAAAATCTGTAACTTCTTGGCATTTCTGAGAGAGAAGAAGAAAAACAGGCAACATGGAAAACATATTTGGGGAATAATTCAGGAAAATTTCTTGAACCTTGCTCAAGGTCAACATGCAGATACAAGAAATTCAGAGATCAACTGTGATATGCTACACAAGATGACCATTACCAAGGCATATATAGTCAGACTACCCAAGGTTAACAGGGAAAAAAAATCTTAAAGGCAGCTAGATTTAAATAAAAGGAAAAATTACCTATAAATGAAATAGCATCAGACTAATAGCTAATTTCTCAGCAGAAACCTTAGAAGACAGAAGATTGGGGATGTATTTTTAGCCCTTTTTTTTAAGAAACAAAGTCTCAATCTGTCACCTAAAGTGCACCAGTGGTGTAGTCATAGCTCACTATAACTCCTGGGTTCAAGCAATCCTCCCACCTCAGCCTTCTAAGCAGCTGGGACTACAAGTATGTGACACCATGACTAGTTTTCTAAAAAATTTGTAGACGGGTCTCGCTATGCTGCCCAGGCTAGCTGTGAGCTTCCAGGCTCAATTGATCTTCCAACATCAACTTCTCAAAGCACTGGATTAGAGGCATAAGCCACCATACCTGGCCTTTAGCCTTAAAGAAAAACAACTGCAGCCAAGAATTCTATATCCTGATAAACTAAGCTTCTTAAAGGAAGGAGAAATAGAGTTTTTCCCAGACAAGCAAATGCTATGGGAATCTGTCACCACCAAACCTATCCGATAAGAAATGCTTAAAGGACCTCTAAACACAGACACAAAATCAGATATTTGCTACTGTAAAAGCCTATGTTAGTAAAAAGCTCATAGATCCTATAAAGCAATTATATCCTTGAGACTACAAAACAATTAGCTAACAACACTAACACAGAAACAAAATCTCACATATCAATATTAACGTTGAATGTAAATGGCCTAAATGCTCTAGTGAAAAGACATAGATTGGCACACAGAATACAAAAATACGATCTGTTAGGCCGGATGTGGTGGCTCACACCTGAAATCCCAGCACTTCAGGTCGAGGCAGGAGGATCACCTGAGGTCATAAATTCGAGACCAGCCTGGCCAAAAAAATGAAACCCTGTCTCTACTAAAAATATAAAAATTAGCCAGGCATGGTGGCAGGTGCCTGTAGTCCCAGCTACTTAGGAGGCTGAGGCAGGAGAATCATTTGCACCCGGGAGGCAGAGGTTGCAGTGAGCCGAGATCGTGTAACTGCACTGTAGCCTGGGCGACAGAGTGAGACTTGGTCTCAAAAACTTCAACAGACCCATCTCAGACATAATGACAACCACAAACTAAAACTAAAGAGATGGAGAAAGATCTACCATGCAAATAGAAAACAAAAAAGAGCAGGGATTGATCTTCCTGTATCAGCTAAAACAGACTTTAAGCCAACAACAGTAAATAAAAAGGCGGGAATTCTATAATAAAAAGGGATTCATCATCAAGATTTAACTAACCTAATATATAGGGACCCAACATCAGAGGCCCCAGATTGATAAAACAATCATCCCTAGAGACAGAGAGCCATACAGTAATACTGAGGGGGGATTTTTTTTTTTTTTTTTTTGAGGCAGAATCTCACTGTTGCCATGCTGGAGTACAGTGTTGCGATCTCAGCTCACTGCAACCTCTGTCTCTTGGGTTCAAGCGATTCTCGTGCCTCAGCCTCCCCAGTAGCTGGGATTACAGCCATGTGCCACCACACCCAGCTAATTTTTTTATTTTTAGTAGAGATGAGGTTTTGCCATGTTGGGCAGGATGTTCTCAATCTCCTGACCTCGTGATCCCCCCGCCTTGGCCTCCCAAAGTGCTAAAATTAAAGGTGTGAGCTACCATGCCTAGCCAATATTGGGGGATTTTAAGATCCCAGTGATAGCACAAGACAGATTATTGAGGCAGAAAAATAACAATGGAACTCTGGACTTAAATTGGACTCTTGACCAAATAGACCTAATAGACATTTACAAAACACTCCACTCAACAACTACAGAATATACATTTTTTTCTCATCTGTGCACGAACATTCTCTAAAATTGATCATATGCTTGGTCATAAAGCAAGTCTCCTTAAATTCAAAATCATATCAAACATCTTCTCAGAACAGAGTGAAATAAAATTAGAAATCAATAACAAGGGGAACTCTCAAGACCACACAAGTACATATAAACTAAATAACTTGCTTCTAAATGACTTTTGAGTAAATAATGAAATTAAGGCAGAAATTTTTAAAAAATTGAAACAAATGAAAATAGAGACACAACATACCAAAACTTATAGGATATGTCAAAAGCGGTGTTAAAAGTTTATAGCACTAATTGCCTATATCAAAAAGGAAGAAAAACCTCAAATGAACAACCTAATGTCTGATGTCACACCTAAAAATCTAGAAAAACAAACCAGACCCAAAGCTAGCTGAGGAGTAACAAAGATCGTGGCAGAACTAAATTGAGACCAAAAGAATCATACAACAGATCAATGAAACAAAAATGAAAAACAAACAGACTGGTAGCTAAATTAAGCAAGAAAAAGAGAGGATTCAAAAAGCACAATCAGAAATGACAAAGGTGACATTACAACTGATACCACAGAAATAGAAAAGATCCTCAGAGACTATTATGAACATATCTATGAGCATAAACTGGAAAACACAGAGGAAATGAATAAATTCCTGGAAATATTCAACTTCCCAATATTGAACCAGGAGGAAAAGAAACCCTAAACAGAATATTATTTGAGACTCTGTCTCAAATAATAAGCTATGAAATTGAATCAGTAATATTAACAGCAGAATTCTATCAGATGTATATAAAGAAAAGTTGGTACCAATCTTACTGAAACTACTCCAAGAAAAATCAGTGAGGAGGGATTCCACCCTAACTCATTCTACAAAACTAGTATCATCCTGATATCAAAATTTGGCAAGGACACAATAAAAAAGAAAACTACAGGCTGTTATTCATGATGAACATAAATGTAAAAATCCTCAACAAAATATTAGCAAACTGAAACCATCAGCACATCAGAAACATAACTCCTCATGATCAAATGGGTTTTATTCCTGGGATGCAAGGATAGCTTAACATATGCAAATCAATACATGTAATTCACCACATACACAGAATTAAAACAAAAATTATATGCTCATCTCAATAGATGCAGAAAAAACATTCAATAAAACTTGACATAACTTGATGATAAAAACAAACCCCTGAGAACAAACTAGGCATTGAAGAAACATACCTCAAAATAATAAGGGCTCTACATGCAAACCCACAGCCAACACCATACTCAATGTACAAAAGTTAAAAGCATTTCCCCTAAAAACTGGAACAAGACAGGGATATCCACTCTTACCACTCCTGTTTAACATAGTACTGGAAGTCCTAGCCAGAGCAATCAGGCAAGATTGCTGGAATACTAGGCAGCCATAAGAAGAGTGAAATCATATCCTTCGCAGCAGCATGGATACAGCTGAAGGCCAGTATCCTAACTGAAATAACTCAGAGGCAGAAAATAAAATACTGCATGCTCTTACTTATAAGTGGGGGCTAATCAATAGGTATACATGGACATAATGAGGGAAATAATAGACAACAGGGACTCCAAAAGGGGGAAAACAGGAAGGGAATGAGGGTTGAAAAAGTACCCATTAAGTATTATGTTAATATCTTAGGTGATGGGATCAATAGAAGCCCAAATCCCAGCATTACACAATATAACCACGTAACAAACCTGCATGTGTACTACCTGAATGTTCAACCCCTGACCCACCCTCCAAAAAAACAGGAACACCAACCATCCTGAATGAGAATTTAATTATAATTCTTATAGGCAAGGATAGAAAAATGACACTTTCCTCTGGGTTTCTTTTGGCCACAGAATAATAATGAAATTAGACTAAATGAATTTCATTAGAATTTCAATACCTTTTAATGTAGTCGAATATATGTTTGTAACTTTTTATTTAAGTCTTATAATTTTTATATATAATATTTAGAAAATTCAAAAAATATTAAGAATCTAAAAATTATTTCAAGCACATCAATGGCAGTGTCCTGCAATCGTGTCTGAGAAAGCTCAGCCTGTAAGTTAAAAGCATATTAGTTTAAAGTATGCAGGCCAGGCCAGTGGCTCATGCCTGTAATCCCAGCACTTTCGGATGTCAAGGCAGGAAGATTACTTGAGGCCAGGAGTTCAAGACCAGCCTGGCCAACATGGTGAAACCCCATCTCTACAAAAAATATACGAATTAGCTGGGTGTGGTGGCATATGCCTGTTACTCCAGCTAGCTACTCAGGTGGCTGAGGCACAAGAATCACTTGAACCCAGGATGCAGAGGCTGCAGTCAGCCAAGATTGTGCCACTACACTCCAGCCTGGGCAACAGAGCAAGACTCTGTCTCAAAAAAAAAAACCCAAAAAACAAAAAACAAAATTAAATTAACTCAAATAAGTAAATAAAGTATGCAAAAACATACTTTGGTCTGTTGAACTAAGCTAGAATAACCTCTCACGCTGTTCACGCTACCTTAAATTTCCTTTCTGCTCATCTGTCTCTCAAAGCTTACCCCTTCACCCAGGCACCAGTACAAACAATGGCTATAGTACCCTTCCCTACACATGTCAAGACTATTTGATAATATGTGCATAAATATATGGATGACTTAGTAAACAGTCAAAAGACCTTAGTGATAACTGATTCATTCTTCTAGGTTACATGAATTTACCTTAAAAATCATTCCTACTAACAGTTCAAACTCTGGTGTAACTTTTCATACTTGCTATAATAAATCTTTAAACCTACTTAAACAATAAAACTAAACTAAAGATTTCAAACATTGAGATTAAATTACTAATCTGGGACAGATCACACCCAAAATGACTGGTCACTAAAATAATTAAAAGTATCATTTTCTAGTTACTTGTCTTCAACTGCAGTGGCTCCAATTAAATTCATATTTGTCTCAATATCATCGAAAACTTTTTCCATTTTTTCTTCTCTGTCTTGTAAGGCCATCTTTGCTTCTATGAGCTGTCTGTTAATTCTTTCATAATCATCTGGAGCAATTTCTTTGAAGGCTACACAGAGTGTCCGATACCCATCCTAGGAGTAAAGTAGGATATCTGTTGTTATTCTAATAATAATTGAAAAAAAAATCCCATACTCTGTAAATGCTCTTGCTTTAGCTATATGTACAAAAGAGAAATTCTGACACATATTTAATTTATAAAAGTGAACAAATTACAACTGAAAAGGTCACATTCAGTTAGGTTCAGAAAAAGGAAATAACAGTTCTTTTAACAAAGGTTGCTGAAAAGTCTTTAAGGCTGTAAATTCTGACTAGAAACTTGCTTCAGAATAATGTTTTATATTAAGATAAAGAAAGTAATATTATTGAATCCCCAAATACATAACACAGACCACAAAAACATGCTAAAATGTATTTAAGCTGTCATTTAAACAGAAATCCAACAAACATAGTCATCTTCAGCATTTCTCTGCTTACTTATTGGTGGGGGAAGGAGTATAGGCTCACCATTGCATTACGTTCCACGTGGACTTTAGTTAACTCAATTTCATGATTCTGCACCCTGGGAAAAACTGCCGAGTCTGCTCCTTTACAAAAGAGAAGTATGTCTCCTAAAATAAAGAACCATAGTACCTGACATAGAGTTTTAAGGCTGGCATTGTGGTTTCAATAAGAGATAACTTTTAAAGTGGTCTCTCTCACCCAAGTGTTACATATTCTGAGCATGCTTTGCAATACTCACCCAAATGAAATGAGAAATCTTGGCCTTTAGTCTGTCAGAAAGGTATGCACCACCCCTTCAGGTTATTATGAACACAATTAATAAGCCAGAGTTTACAATATGCACCTCTCTGTTAAAATATACTTCCTCCCACCTTCATGGAGGGCTGGGCTTGTGTCAAGGCGGTGCATCTGAATTCCTTCTGAAAATATATGCCAGGTGCAGTGGCTCACACCTTTAATCCCAGCACTGTGGGAGGCTGAAGCGGGAGGATCACTTAAGCTCAGTTCAAGATCAGCCTGGGCAACACAGGAAGACCCCATCTCTACTAAAATACAAAAAAAAAAAAAAAAAATAGCTGGGCATGGCGGCACATGCCTATAGTCCCAGCTACTCAGGAAGCTAAGGCAGGAGAATAGCTTGAACTCGGGAAGCGGAGGTTGTGATGAGCCAAGATCATGCTACGGCACTCTAGCCTGGGCAACAGAGCAAGACTCCATCTCAAAAAAAAAATTAAAAAATTAAAAAATTAGCCAGGCATGGTGATACATGCCTATAGTCCCAATTATTCTGGATGTTGAGGTGGAAAGATTGATTGAGCCCAGGATATCGAGGCTGCAGTGAACTATGATCTTGTCACTACAGCCTGGATGACAGAGTAATACCCTGTCTCGGGGGTGGGAAAAAAAACAACCCAGAATCAAAGAAATGCAGTGAAGCCATGGCCTAGAGTATGCATATGGCATCTCCAGATGTCAAGAAGAAAACTTAAGCTCAAACAAGCTGAAATCATTTTGAATAAACTATATTAACTAGCTTTTAAAACACTGGCTTAATGGTTTTTACTGAAACTCGAAAATAGCTTTATAGAATGCTGGTATAAATGCAGCTTTGGATCACTTCACACACCTAGGAAATACTCACAGTTGTGCACTATGAGAGACACTTTATTCCTGTAAGGGAAACAACCGAGTTCAACAAAAAGTGTAGCTCTGAGGTCAATGACCTTTGTAGACCAGGCCCGCAGACATTTCACCATTTACTGCAGAACACGTGGATGTGCAGACATAAGAATAGCAAGTATTTGAAATATTAAGTGTTTTTTTCATTTATTCTTATACATCCAAAGTGTGTTTTAAAGTTCACAAAACAAACTCCATGGTCACTTATTAAAATCAATGTCATGACTTTGCAATCATACCAAAAAGTATGAATAAAGTGGGATATGTTCCCCCAAGGGTCTGTCTATATCCTCCCATTCTCACATTAAGGAATTTAGAAAATTTAATAGTAAAAAGTAAATTATTGGGAAATAAATCAAGAATTTTTAGAAAACAAACCCCTGGGTACACCATACACACATGTATCTGAGAGCCTTTGAATAAAGCAGAAGTGCTCCCCTATAGGTCTTGCAGAATCTAAGCAGAAGGCAAACCATCATGTTGCCTCCAAAGACATGAGGGAGCCCAGGATTATGGTACCAGTTCCCCTGCAAAGGGCAAGCTTTACTCTTGTTAAACAAAGAACCTGAGCTCTGGAGTAAAACTGCAATGCCATTCCTAGAAGCCAGGCCCTTACTCCTCTCTACCTCACCTATTTCCAGAGAATGTCAAGCAGTAGGGGAACCAGGAAGGTCAGTGAGAGATAATAAGCAACTCCCTATACTCAAGGTTTCTGCTACTAGTAATCCCAGACCATCCAACCATGCTAGGTGGCTATGTGTAAACTTTACTGGTAGACTGGTCAGTACCATGAATAACACACAAGGCATCCTTTCAGTTCCTGTTTGAATACCCAGGGCAGAGGGATATTGTTCAGCTAACAAGAAAACGTACTTCCTGTCATAACAAGGGTTCTGTCACTAATGATTTGGTAAACTGAACATGTTTGCTTAAAAAAAATACATGAAGGCATATACAAAAAATACTGCTTCACATGACTTTCACTAATCCTATGCTACTACATGAAATGATTCTCTTTTTTGAAAGAGTGAATCAACCAGTAAGCCTACAAATGAACAAAGAGAAAAATTGAAGTTTTTTAAATACGTACCTTCTTGAGTCTTCACAATTACACTCATACGTCGGCGGACAGCATCAAAGTTTAAAGTGTGAAGAAGTTCATATCTTTAAGAGAAGTGAGAAAAGTAAAAATCCTAGCACATACTGAGAAAAATAAAGCACAACAGAAATATGTTAAGATATTTAAACATCTTAAATCAACAGATAGCTATCCTCTTTGCAGAAGGGTCACTGGTTGTCTGCACAACTGGTACTTTCCTTTGTCTTAGAATTTCTCTGAACATAAAACATGTTGTCAGAGGACACCAGTGTTGGTTAAGGGGTATTAATAGTCCCTCACTATACTATTTAAAATGGTAAGAAGAATGACCACATAAAATGGAGGATAAAGAGCTGTCCCACCAAGCCATATTTGGAGGGGTATAGAAATAGTCCCACTCTGCCAATTATTTTAGCAGCATTTATGTATGGAGTGCTAGGCACAGTGCTAGGTGCTGGGGGAATAGAGGTGGCTCAGATTCACCTCTATTCCCCAGCGTCTAGCACTGTGCCTGGCACTCCATACATAAATGCTGCTATAATAATTATCTCAATATGCTCTGTCTCCCTTATCATAAGGTGACTTGTGTAAGTCCCTTCCCTTACACAGGTCACCATATAAGGGAGACAGAGCATAATGAGATAACTACCCTTCTAGTCTCTCAAATACTGTAATAAAGGCACTTACAGGGAAGATACAAGAACACAGAAGGAAGCCATCTGAAAGGAGGCTTCCTGGAAGAGGACATGCCTGAGCTGGGTTCCACAAGGGTAATATGATAAAGAAAGGGGGCCATGGCATTCTGACTAGACGGAATGATCAAAGCAACATGAGAGCATACGGCCCATGGAGGACTTGAAGTAGTTCTCCAATGCCAAAAAAACACACTGATAGGGGAATAGCAAGAGATAAAAAGCAAGAAAAGTAAGCAGAGGCTGGAAACACAAAAGCCATTTCAGGAATTTGGGATTGTATTGTAAGAGCAAAAGAAAGCCAATGAAAGGGTTTAAACAATGAAATGACATCATGAAATTGTTCAAATGTGTGTGTGGATGGCTGAACTAATCAATGGAGAGACACAGAAGAGTTTAAATAAGAGTTGGTTATTAGAAAAAGTACGAGGAAATATGTCCTTGAAAATAAACTAATATTTTTAAAAGTATTTATTATATATGTTGTTTTTGGTGGGAGTAAGGGGGTCATTAATCTTGGGGGAGTATATGTGCGTAAGACATCTACAGTGGCGTCTGGTTTGCTGTTGGCCAGATGAGGGCACTGTTGCAGACAGACTAGAATCTAAACTCTGACAATGACCCTGGGTCCCTGTCAGTCAGACTAAGAACCTTCCTCTCCGCTTCTATGCATCCCTCTCCAAAGGGACACATTACTCAAGTACGTATAAATGTATTACAGGTTTCTGAGACGGGTCTCAGGAGATCCTAGGGGCCAGAACAAAAGTCAGAGAAGAAATTCAAATTAATCACAGAGCCTAATTAAAATCCACCATTAAGATAAGGTGGATTTGTTCACTGGGGTCTTTGTGGCAAAAGAGGAAATGTGAAGACACTGGTACATCAGAGTACTTGCCCTGAGGCTCACACCTGAACATCCCCAACAAGACAAAACTTCTGGTTAACAGCAAAGCTGCCTTTATTGGCTGGGCTTACAATCCCAGAGCGATTGCTTAGACACTAGACAGCAGAATGTTTCACATATTTTCACTGATTTTTCTTGTAACATATGTTAGAAACTTGAAATGGCATCTAAATTTCAGAAACAGTCCAGGCAGACTCTCTTTCTGGCTACTGGACCCAGATGTGGACCAGACTGAAATTTCTACCTCAAACCCCAGTTTCTGCCATTCTATGTAAAATGGCTTCTACCCTAACTACATTTACATAAAACTCTGAACTGGGAGAGCAGAGTCCTGTATTTTTAGTGGCATCATTTCCTTTTCTGCCCTGCCTGAATCCATTTAAATTTGACTGTGGGGTTAAGAAATGACAAACATCAAACACAGAGCTACTTACTCTTCTATTTCTTTTCTTTGGTTCTCTACTCTCATATGTCCATTTCGATTTCCTAAAAATGTGAACCCGTACCTATCAAAAACAATAAAAAAGACCTTGTGTATCTCTAAAGAATGATTTTTTTTTTTGAGACAGTCTCACTTTGTCACTCAGGTTGGAGTAAGGTGACAAGATCATGGGTCACTGCAACCTCCACCTCCCAGGTTCAAGTGATTCTCCTGCCTCAGCCTCTTGAGTAGCTGAGATTATGGGTGCATGCCACCACACCAGGCTGATTTTTATATTTTTAGCAGAGACACGGTTTCACCATGTTGGCCAGCCTGATCTCAAACTCCTAACCTCAGGTGGTCAACCCATTTTGGCCTCCCAAAGTGCTGGGATTACAGGCATGAGCCACTGCACTTGGTCTAGAATGATTAATTTTCAATGGGTTTACTCATTCTTGTTTATGCTTCTCTTCGCTTTCATATGATCTCAACATATAACTGTACTTCCTTTTTCTGAATGAGATGATAACAGAGAAAGTCAATGCCCAGCCACAATTATTGTAATCAAGGGAGAGACCATTTGGGTTTCTGATTCTGCAGCTAACACACTGGGTAATGTTTTAGCCACTTAATTATCTTAAACCTCATGGGTAAAATTGGACTTTCAGTTCTCAAATGATGTCAAAATTGCTTGGGGCATCTCAGAAATAGCATGTGTTGTAAAAAAGTAGCCACTGTTACGTTATTTGCAAAATATAACATGAAGTTCAGACTTCTGGCTGGCATGCATAAATAGACAAGTAATACCTACATGTCACTATTTTCTTCTTGGTCTAACTAGTCAGGTGTGGGAATTTTCCAAAAACTTTTGGCTAAAGCAGTTATGTTTTTTTATTAAATAGTGGAAGATGTACATGCTAAGGTGACTGAAGCAAACAGAAAAAAACAAAATAACTTCTGTCCTCCTGTGATTTCACTTTCTTAGGAGAGGTATAAGAAAGTATACTTTACTTTTTAGCTCCTTTCACCAAAGCTATTTCATCTGGTGAAGAGGAGATATAGGTTAATTCAGCTGATTCTGTAGCTCCATCAACAGCATCATTTGTTTTGATTTCTACAGTATGACATAAACACAAGGCACGTAGAAACAGCTCTTCTCGATTCTGTGGAATAGTATTAAAATCATGATTATTATTTTTAATTTGATCACTCAGTAACTAGACAGTTAACAGAGAAAATATAGTAATGAGATAGAATGTTATAACCTCTAGCAAACTTAGTAGCAGATATGTATAAATTCCTAACCCTCAAATCAGCTATGTATTCTCCTAGTACGTAACAAAGTTCCCGGTTCTCAGCTAGCATGCCCTTCTATAGGCTGTGTTAACTCATTCAGGTTATTGTAGCATCACCTAAGCCAAAACAATGACTTCTTCATGGTCTAAAAGATTTCATTCAGTATCTAATTCACAGTCTAGCAATAGCTCAAGTGCAGGGAGATGCTGGTTAATTTACCGCCTAGACACTACTGAGACCTTAATCAATTGAACAGGCATCATTCTTGGAAGAGCTTTAAAAGACAAAGAACAAAAAATTATGATCATATGGACAGGCAAGCTTTTACCCAAATGTCATTTCCCACAATTCTCTTTACTTATAAATTCTACTCATTTACAAATTTCAGAAGTGTCAGTAAAACAAGAAAGGTGAAGCCAACAACAGTTATTCAAAATTCGCTGGGTGCAGTGGCTCACATCTGTAATCCCAGCACTTCACAAGGCTGAGGTGGGTCGATTACCTGAGGTCAGAGTTCGAGACCAACCTGACCAACATAGTGAAACCCCGTCTCTACTAAAAATACAAAAAAATTAGCTGGGCATGGTGGTAGGCGCCTGTAATCCCAGCTACTCTGGAGGCTGAGGCAGGAGAACTGCTTGAACCCAGGAAGTGGAGGTTGTGGTGAGCCAAGATCATGCCACTACACTCTAGCCTGGGCAACAGAGTGAGACTCCATCTCAAAAAAACCAAACAAACCAAAATACCCACAAAAGTCTATGTCATGTGCCTACAAAAAAATTTTCTACTATGGAATGTTAACATGCATACATAGATTGATTTCTTATATAAAATAATAATGCAAATGCACCTTATCTGCTTTGTCAAAATATGTTAAAGGTCCATCAGTTTGAGATAATCCATCAACCTCTTGAGTTACACCTTTATATTTGTGTCCATCTATGCAGCATTCAATGAATTCCATGCTGTTTTCAGTAAGTGTTCCAGTCTTATCTGTAAATACATAATCCACCTAAAACAAGCACACAAACATAAACATTGTTGGTTTCTTCAGTGTGACTGGTTTGCTGTAACGCAAAGCTATTTTCATATCCATAAAAAATCACCTAAAACTTCTTGTCAAATGTCAGGGAATTACAGAAACAATATTACCAAACAAATGAGGAATAAATGAGTATTTTTAAAGACACTAAAATGGTATCACATGTCTAAGGTAGACTTACTCAGATGTAAAAGATGAATAGAAAAAAATGTGACTACTGGCTGGGCATGGTGGCTCACGCCTGAAATCCCAGCACTTTGGGAGGCGAGGCAGGATTACTTGAACTCAGGAGTTCAGACCAGCCTGGCCAATATGGTAAAACCCCATCTCTACTAAAAACACAAAAATTAGCTGGGTGTGGTGGCATACCTGTAATCCCAGCTACTTGGGAGGCAGATGCACGAGAATTGCTTGAACCCAGGAGACAAAGGTTGCAGTGAGCTAATATCGCACCACTACACTCCAACCTGGGCGACAGACTGAGACTCTGTCCCACAAAAAGGAAAAACAAATAAAAAGTGACTATTTTATCAAACTTATAACCCTTCTAATGTAAGTTAACTTTTTTTTTTTTAAAGACAGGGTCTCACTCTGTCACCCAGGCCGGAATGCAGCTGTTATAGCTCACTGTAACCTCGAACTTCTGGCTCAAGCAATCCTCCTGCCTCAGCCTCCTGAGTAGCTAGGACCATAGGCATGTACCACACCAGGCTCATTTTTTGTAATTTTTGTAGAGACAGCATCTCACTATGTTGCCCAGGCTGGTCTATTACTCCTGGGCTCAAGCCTTGGCCTCCCAAAGTGTTGGGATTATAGGCATGAGCCACCATGCCCAGCCAGTTAACCTGTTTGATGTAAAGAAGTTACATAAATCAATTTTTCAAGTAGGAAATTATACTGACTACTTATTTCTCTCTCTCTCACACACACACTCTCTCTCTCTCTCTCTCTCTCTCTCTCTCTCTGGGCTAGTATGTATATTACCCATTAAAAATATTTACTAATAAATTAAATAGGATGTAACAAAACAGAAACTGATGAAAGATTTTTTCCTCTTTTTAAAGTAAAATTTTCTATAAAAATGCTGAATTGAAATAAAATGTACCGCATTATATAATATACATAAGAATCAATAATAATGTTAACGTTATCTAATTAGAAGATATAGTAGGTCAACAGTGATCAAAACCATAAATGAAATTTCCTTCTATATACTATACATGTTTTGAAAATACTCAAGTTTCCAAATTTAGAAAAAAGCAGAAGTCTTAATGATAGGTTAAAGTATAACACAAGTATATTTTCATAAATAATGGAAACATAAGCTAAGACATAAATTTGCCATTAAGATAAATCATTTTGAGCATTTCTATTTTATCTCAGTTTTTATCGCTTCTATTTTTAACATCTGGCTTTTGGAAACCTACAATTTTATCCTCATTTTGGCAATTCATGATTAAATAGTTAAAATTATGGGCTGACAGGAACAAGCATAAGCACAAGATTAAGGTTTTTATTATGTAAGGGAGAAAGAGATGAACTACAGAAGTAGTTCCTTTCTAATTATTTTTCAAAGCTTTTCACGGTAGCAGCACTGGCACAAATACGGCATTCCAATCTTTTTTTTTTCCTGTTAAGCCAGCCAAGTTTGAACTCTCTCTTTAAATTAATCCAAGTGGTATTACTTGTATATCATTTAGATTCTTACAGTTTAAATGAAATTATTTGGGGCTTTTTTCTGATCAAAATGATTAACCTTCATTTTCTCCTGAAGGGTGTCCTGGGTTATTTCACCTCCTGCACTTGGATGAGCATTAGAATCTCTTTTGTTAGTGTCAAAGATGGCAGCTTTAAAATATAGAGTACAATTTAGTCACCTATGTGAAACATTTTGGGCAGTATCAATCTGCAAACATTGAATCTCATAGTTATATGCCTACAAATTATACCTGAGTGCAGTAATTATCAAAGTGTAGAATATATCGCATGCACTTGGAGGTCTTGTTAAAACTCAGATCGCTGCTCTATTGCCAGAATTTCTGAATCAGTCAGTCCGAGGTGGGACAAGATAATTTACACTTCCAACTTATCAGGTAGTGTTGATGCTGCTGGTCCCAGGATCATATTGACAGAACTACCACCCTAAGATATGATCTATACTCAGAAAAAGAGGAGGGAATCAACTGTGATTAACTATTCTAGGCCAGGTGTAGTGGCTAACGCCTGTAATCCCAGCACTTTGGGAGGCTGAGGTGGGCGGATCACCTGAGGTTAGGAATTCAAGACCAGCCTGGCCAACATGGCGAAACCTCATCTCTACTAAAAATACAAACAAAATTAGCCAGGTGTGGTGGCACTCGCCTGTAGTCCCAGCCACTGGGGAGGCTGAGCCAGGAGAATCACTTGAACCTGGTAGGTGGAGGCTGCAGTGAGCTCAGATCACGCCACTGTATTCAAGCCTGGGTGACACAGCAAGACTCTCAGAAAAATTAAAAAAAAAAAAAAAAAAACTATTCTCATATTTAAAGGAGAGAAATAAATGAAGTGGGAGGCTGCTGCTTGACTCTCAAAAACAGCCTCGACTTCAAGCTTGCCAAAAAGACTCCTCTATATCAGCAGGCTCAAAGCTATCATTTGCATGATATTGTTAAATATGTATTTGATAAATATATATTTGATCTTCCTTTTTGTTTCCTGACATAAAGCTCCTCAAGCCTTAGTAACTCCAGAGTGTTAAGAGTATTTCTGTACGCTAATGAGAGGAAAATGGTTCGGGGCCCCTAGATAGCTTCAAGATGAGTGCAGGTCACTGGAAAGACCAAGGCATGATTATAGGGTTGGGATTTCCAGCCCCACACCTGACCTAGGGAAGGAGGAAAGAGGGGCTAAAGGTTAATCCAAACAGAAATGGCCAATGATTTAGTCAATCATGTCTACATAATGTAAAAATTTCCATAAAACTCCCCAAAAAACTGGGTTCAAAATGCTTCTGAATAGCTGAACACATGGAATTCCTTGAAGGGTGGGATGCCTGGAAAGGTCAGGGAAGCTCCACGCCCCTTCCCCCAGTAAACATGACTGTTTCCCTCTCTGACCTGCTCTAGTAAACGAATCAAATCTAAGGAGAGGGTCTAGCAACTTACTGGACCCCATTTTATAGCTGCAATCAGAAGCATAAGTTACAACCTGAACTAGCAACAGTCATCTGAAGTGGGGGGCAGTCTTGTGGGACTGAGCGCTCAACCTGTGAGATCTGACACAATACACTAACTCCAGGTAGGCAGTATCAAAAGTGAATTGGAAGATACCTAGCTGGTGTTTACTGGATAACTGCTTGCTTCGTGTGTCAGGAAAAAACTTCATATAGCTTGTGTCAAGAGTGTTGTGTTGAGTGGCTATGTGAGAACAGTAAAAGAAAAACAGGGGCTTATGGATAACTAACATGTCGGGGTTCCCAGAGGGTGGCACAGGGAAGGTATGGAAGCTCAACACCCCTTCCCTTATGCCTCATCCTATAAGTCTCTTTATCTGTATCCTTTTGCAACATCCTTTATATGAAACTGGTGAACATAAGTGTTTTCCTGACTTCTGTCTGCTGCTCTAGCAAGCTAATCAAACCCAAAGAGGGGGTTGTGAGTAGCCCATCTTGAAGCTGGTCGGTCGGAAACGTTATAGAGGCCCAGACTTGTGACTGGTGTCTGGGAAGCATGGACAGTCTTAGGGATTTCCTGTGGGATCCAATGTTATCTCCAACTAGACAGAATTGAACTAGAGGACATCCAGTTGGTGTCTACTGTTTGCTGGTGAGAAAAACTGCTCCCTCCCACATTTGGACACAGAAGTCTTCTGTGTTGTTTGGTGTGAGAGCACAGTAAAAACACATTTTGGGGGTTTTCCCTGAAACACATATTAATCCCATCATACAGAAACAATCATAGTTAACATTCTGACTTTTATCCCTCTAGACACCATATACGTATATTTACCACTTGAATAAAAAGATAACCTCATTCTGTTTGCTATGTAATCTATTTTTCTCACATACGTAATATATATTTCCATGTCAAGAATATAGATTTACATAATAACTTTTGTTGATTAATTAGTATTCCATTGAATAAACTATAATTTCTAAAAAAAGAAAAAAGACTTTTCCTATTTCTTAGTAAGACAACTACTGTAGGGTAGAACAAGCTCTGAAGTGTATGTTGAACATGGGAAATCACCTATTTTGTATCTCAAAACTTACCACATGGTTCGACTTAATGGAACACTTGGACTCCATCTTGGCTCCACCACCTACTAACTTTGTGACCTTAAGAAAATTTCTTTACCTCTATGAACTTCAAATATTAACCTTAACAATACCTGCTGCACAAGAATGTAAAGATTAAAAAAAAGCTCAATAATAATAACTATAACCTTTAAGGTACTATATACATGGTGACTGTCACCACTGTTGACTTGACCAAAATCAAAGAGCACCAGACACTTTGCATTCCCCCACAATTTTTCTGATTGATTATGATCACATTGCTGTATTTAGGTCTGATGTGTATGTCTCCCCAACAATATTTTTTAAAATCTGAGGGTTTCTTATTTACTTCATAATAGTACCTAGAATACACACATATCCCAGACAATAAAAGGTGAATAACAGCTACTGGCTTGAATTATATACTTACACTATAAAGTTTCACCATTAGGCAGAGCTGCAAGATGGAAAGGCAATATGAAGAAGAGTAGCCTCACAATTTTTTCAATATAGATTACAATCATTTGGTTGTCTAAAAGATTTTGTCTGATCATAAAAGACCCCAATATTTTCCAAACGAGCTGAGCAGTCTACTTCCTTTTGTTTCTCATGTCAAACACTGTCCTAAACATACCTTTCTACTTTTTAATCCCAGTGTGAGTCACATTAAAAGAGGTTAAGCAAATGCTTGCAATGATATGGACAGGAATTAAATGACACTGTCTTTAGTAACATAAAAAGTTACATAGATCTTAAATTTGACTCAACAAAAAGAAAACAGGTTATACTTAACAGAAAAAAAAAATGTGTACTGGTTTACTGAATACTAAATGGCCTAAGAAACTATTTCAAGACTTCTTTGCACTTTCATTTAGGTCATTTCTATACGTGTAAGCTAATAATGACAACAAGTTGTTTATATACTATTATAATTAAAGTGCTGGTCTGACTATTAATGATATGACTAAATGACAATCACAACTAGAAATGCAAGGTTTGGTGGGAGAAAGGAGTAGTGACTAAAAGGAAGACTGCAGCTTCTTTTCACTCATCAAATTTACTAGATCCTTACCCAAAGCTCTACTTTACTTTCTGCAGTGTTAACAAAGCCTAGATAAGAAGACTGCATTCCCATAAGTAATATGGAATCTGCTGAGATGGAAATATGAAAGAGATAAGAGTCTTATCAACTGGAACCTGATCTGGGCATCTTATTTGTTTTTAGTGAACATTAAGTGTCATATTCAGAACGATGGCTATTTGTAATAGTAGTTGAGGCTAGCCCAAAGCTAGCCATGCTCACCCTTGGGTACGTTAACACATACAGCCAGGCACTTAATCTAGAACAGGCAGATTTGCTCAGCATCTAGAGTGAACCACTAAATTAACTGTCAGGGAAACGTTCACTAAAGGTGGCTTGTATATTCAAACTTTTTTCTCATGCAAAAAACTCTGCAAATTGATGCCTTTTATTGAGATCAGAACAGTTCTACTCAACTAGCTCTAACCCTGCATGAAAACTTCTGGCTTAAAAGACAATGGTCGGGTATGGCAGCCCACATCACCAACAAAATAACCTTCTGGGAACAATATCCAAAGGAAAAGCCATTTGCCCATTCAATTTTTTTTCCTATTCTTAGTGCGTCAGTATCTGCATCAGATGCAGACTCCACGGTTTCAGACATTGATGTCCTGAAGTCAAGTCTAAACAAAATGGTGTCTGGAGAGTCTTTGCTACCTTTCAACTGCAGTTGCCATGTGGGTACTTTGATTTAGGTAAAGGCTATACCAACAGTAGAAACAGAGTGCAGGGACTGCGGAGAGAGCTAAACTCAGGAAGTAAGAGTTTTGAGGTGAGAATGCAAATCAGCCCCATTTACAGCAAGTGTGAGGGTGAGGCTCTGTTCCAGCCACAGTTTCATTAACTGAATTTGCAACTCCCAGTCACAAAAATGACATTTCCACAGTCCTGACATTCTAAATATCATGAGAATAAAATGCAAGCCAAAAAAATTCCTTCAGCTAGTGAAGATCATTACATGACACAGAGTAACATCAGAAAAAGGGGAAAACTTTCTCAACACTAATAAGAAAAGCACTTAAGAAATCATCACTTGAAGAATTACAGTGACGTTGCATTAGAAAATAAATGCACCTGAGTTAGAATGGGGTCACACAGTCTGAGTTACATTGGTATATAAAGCAGAATGCATTTTGAGAAGTGCATACCCTCACATTTTCCCTTCATTGAAATTCTTGTACTGGAATAAATAATTCTGCTTGTTAGGTCTATATTCTATCTGATCAGAAATGTACCAAGAAAATGTCAATAGGACAACTCTGGTCAATTTTGCTTATGGAACAAAATGCATTTATAAAATAACTATATTTGCTACCCCATATTCTATCCACAAATGGTTATAGATGGTGATGAAGACTGCCTGTTTCCTGTTCCAAAGCAATAGCTAATAATGTAACATCACCCAGATCCAAGGAGAATTTCAGTAACATTCACATTTAATATGTAAATTGTATCCTTCTCAAAAAGACCAGCAAAAGAACTGATGCTGTAACTATGAAAAATGAAAACACTGCTTACCTTCATTACATGCCTGAATAAAAGAATTTTCTCTGAATCACTTTTCCAAATGTGATGTGGTCACATATATTGGTGATCCAGACTACATAAAAAGATATTTTCACTATGTTGACAAATTATTTTAAGTAAAAAAATGCTCTAACCTGACCAAGTTCTTCATTAAGGTCTGATGTGTTAACCAGGGCTCCTTCATTAATTTCTTCATCATAAAAGTCCTTATCCCATGAGATGAAGAAGGAGCCCAAGAATTTCTGCATTTCTACTGTGACGTACATGGAGACAGGAATGATAAAGTTGAATAGAACCATAAATGATAGGAAGTCGGTGAACATTTTTAAAACCTAAAATAAAAGAGATAGTTCATGCTAATTAGACACATATTTCCATCCAACTAATATAATATAAAGGAAGAATTAACTTCATCTTTATTTCAATGCTGAAAACGCTGCTCTTGCTATAAAGACGGAACTTCCCAGTAACACTACATCACTGTAGTCAAAATTATCACAGTATATGAGAACAACATTTAAGAACACCCTCAATTTTACCATTATTCTTAAGTATATAGAATTTGTCAGTACTTTTTCACTTCTTTAAGTTCTCTTTGCTCACTCCACCCTAAGATATGAAAGTGAGATCAAAGTTCATATGTAAGCATTCATTATGCCTTTATTGTGACATCTCACAAGATCGTATTATATTAAAATGCCAAAGCATCTTGCCAAATGGTTTCATCTAAAATTCTTATATAAAAAGGTAAAAACAAGCATAGATGCCTAAAGAAGAAAAAAACTCTAAATCTTCTTAAATATTTATTAGTTTACAGTCACCATATAATCAAGAGAAAATTCAGAAGCTAACAAAAGTTGCCATTTCCCTGAACAGCATTTCAGTGAAGGTTGGCTCAGTCACAAAGTTCTAGAGTTTCAATTTTCAGCATAAAACAAATTACCTTCAAAGTCTCTCGCTCTTTCTGAGTCTTTTGGTTATACCAAGGTTCATCATTGTATGGGGTACTTTGCCAGACATACTTTAGAGTAGTACATACTGCAGCTTTGGTCAGTAAGATGAATAAATACACAATCAGGAAGGCATTAATAGATCTGAAAAATAAGACACCATGTATTTTAACACCACCTAATTATTAATACTTAAGACATCAGCCAGATATGAATTAAACTACTGAGTCATCTAAAGTGCTTTCTGTGTATAATGTATAACTATAGCACAAGCCATTGTGTATGAACCTCAGTTATCATAATTGCAGCATTATTTTCAAGTGGCAAAATGGGAAAGCTGGCCATGAACTGTTTATTGATCAACAATGCTCCCCCAAGTGCAATGGCTGACTAGCTGAACACACCTTAGTAAGGTTCCTGTAAAGTGACAGGAGACGTACACACATGCACACATACACACACCATTACTTACTCAACCCTTATAGAAGGAGTATCTTGTCTCCATTTCCCTGAATCCTAAATGTTTGGGGTAGAGGGCACAGTAGCAATATGAAATCCTCAAGCTCGGTGTAGGTTCTTTCAGTTTGAAAGTGGAGCTACGGAAAGGGTGCCAGTAATATACTGGTTATCCATGCCAAATATAGGGTGAGGTCTATGCCAGCGGTACCTGGCTTGAGGATCTACCAGGTACTGCTTCAATAGATGCCAGGAGACTATTATCTATATTATAGAACTAACTTGCATATAGCAACTAAAGAACTCCAAACCATTAACTCCAATAGCAAAAAAGAATGAATTTATAGTTGAAGTAAACTCTGCCCCTCAAGAGCTATGTGAGCTTAGGTAAGTCACATACCATCTCCAACACCATTTCCTCATGGGTAAAGTGGAGACGTTAACATGAATTACTTCACAGTGTTCTTCAGAAGACTAAACCAAATCAGACATACAAATTATTGAGCACAGTTTCTGGTACATAAACAAGTGCTTAAAATAGTAGTTGCTATTATAATTGACGTTTTTTGTTATGCTTGTTAGTTGGAATTACTAAGAAAGTAACTTCTAATCAATAATGACTAAATAAATTGTGGTGCATACTAACTTTTCAACAGCAGAACGCTTCTGAGATTTCCCTTGGTAGTTCAAAGCCATTTTGGTTTCCATTCCAGTGTAAACAGCAACTCCTAAGAAATAACAGAATATAATGAAAACTAAGAAAATGTCAACCAACTCCTCACCCAGCTGGCTCTATGAATTTTTAAGTCTATAAAAGTGGGAAATCTAGGCTCTCTTCCATCACCAGTTGTCTATCATTTATAGTGTAATTTTAATTATATAAAGTATTTGTCATATTTCATCTTAGTTTACCACCTTATAAATTCCCAACATCTAAATATAGGTTTAGATTAAATGGCAAAACCTGCTATGTTTACTTCTTAATATGCACTATTTATTCACAGCCATTACAAAGCATATTTTTTGATAAATATATCTTAATAATTGTTCACCATATATCTTCTTGGTATTTTTTAGTGTAGCTCCTTTCAGCAAGAGATTTTCAGGCCCCAAAGACCTAAATAAAAAATGAACACAGTTTATCCAAACAAGCTAATAGCATCAACAACTCTGGAGTCAGATTTTGCCCTGACACACACCTATCTCCAAGGGGTTCAGAATGTATCTGTCTATGTATACCATATGCTTACTCCCCAGGACAAGCTGAAAGATCATTCACTCTGAAGTTACTTGAGGGTACAGCACAGATGGAAGCACAGTACGGGAATAGCCAGCAACACACAGAGGCAAAGAAATGCACGGGGGGATAAAAGAATTATGAATCATAGATAGCAAGACGAGAACAGGACAGAGGAGCAGATCGTGAGACACAGAAGCAGAGAGTCATGGATAAGAGACTGGGAACGCAAATGTCAAGGTCGGAAAAATACACTGACATATTTGGAGAGAATAAACCCTTCTTTTGGGGGACCACTGGGGACTGTAAAATGTGACTGTAAAGGCCAAGTGGAAAGTTGTGGTAATTAATATGATAGAAGAGGAAAAAAAGCATCCCTTTTTGTATGAATTGCTTGATATACTGTATAAAGGCCAATACAATTTATCATTTTACTGAAGTTCTAATTATCATTTTAATGAAGCCTTTCATTTTACATAAGTCCAGGTAGTTCTTTCAGCATTTTACCCACTGCCTACTTTCTCAATTACTCTCCCACTGTTCTCCAGGTGTAATTCCAATATTGTTAGCCACTTCACAACCAAGGATAATAAATACCATGGCTAGAACAGATTTGGGAATATCATCCGAAGTGTGTGTCTGGATCTTTACTATTTTGGAAACCCTAAGCATTACTTCCAACAACCCCCTTCCCACAACAGAGACCCTATGACCACAACCCTACCAATCACAAGGTTACTTGTTTATTCACCTTTATATCTCTTTCTTTTTATTTATTTATTTATTTTTGAGATGGAGTCTCACTCTTGTCACTCAGGCTGGAGTGCAATGACACAATCTCAGTTAACAGCAACCTCTGCCTCCCAGGTTCAAGCTATTCTCCTGCCTCAGCCTCCCAAGTAGCTGAGACTGCAGGCGCCCACCACCATGCCTGGCTCAGTTTTGTATTTTAGTAGAGACAGGGTTTCACCATGTTGGCCAGGCTGGTCTCAAACTCCTGACCTCAGGTGATCTGCCCGCCTTGACCTCCCAAAATGCTGGGATTACAGGCGTGTGCCACCTAGCCAAATAGAAAGGTATTTGGCTATTTTATTTGATTTAAAAGAAAAATAGAGACCCCCCCCAAAGGACAAATTAAAGAAACAGCAAACTTACCTGGCAACAGCCTCAAGACTATTACTATAGATATTGATTCGCCCAACAAATCTGTAAAAAGAACATAATTGCAAATTCGTTTTCTACATCCAGACACAATCTACGTACCCGAAATATGAGAATGAATGAAAATACAAATCATAAAACAGAGACAGATAAAATTGTGAGTGAACTACAAAATCCTATTATATTTCTGGGGGAAAAAAGTTATGTTGAATTGATAATGTGTATAACATTGTCATGTAATTTTTAAATAATATGATGGGAATAAGGTCTGTTTAACATCATGCATGCACACAATACCTCTCTCTTTTATAAGGTTACATACATAACATGACTTGTATCTTGGATCATGTGAAGAAAAGTTTCTGGTGCTAAAATACAATTTTCAAAACCATTAGTTCAGTAGTTCTTACACTTCAGTGTGCATCAGAATCACTGGAGGGCTTATTAAACCACCGATTTCTAGGTCTCATCCCTGAGCTCTGATTCAGGTTCCCAGTAATGCTGCTACAAAACCACTCTTTAAACCATGGTACTAGTCTTAGAGAGTGCTATCTTGGAAATGTCTAGCCTGTGACTTGCAGTTGATCTTAATACTGAGCTTCACCCAATCACTTAACATAATAGGTATATGGTAACCTGTATTTCTGTAAAATAAGGTAAAAATACCTAATCCCTTGTTAACATGAGCGTTTTGTATCCTGCATTGCAAACAGCATTTCCCCCAGAAAACAGAAATATATTATGCTACACAAATACACAAAATATGAAGGTTTGCTCATTCATTCGTCATATATTAATTGTGCCAGTTCTGTACTAGGTGCTGAAGATGCACTAATAAGCAAAAAAGAAATGTTCCTTGCCCTCTAAAAGACAAGTAAATAAGCAATTAGGATGCAAGTGCTTACCACTAGTGATAGAAGTACAAGGTACTCCAAAGTCACAGAGCAAGGATTCAATCATCTAAGGAAATTAGGAATAACCTTCCCTGTCCTAACATTCTCCTTCATACTTAAAGCAACTGAAAAATGTGGGGGTTTCCCTATAAAAACGCAAGGGTATAGATACTGTTCTCTAGCTCAGGCAGAATAGGTCACTCCCTTTTCTGCGATTCCATGGACCTTACACTCACCTCTATTATCACCCTGTATAAGCTTAGCCTCAGTACTTTATCTCTTTTGCTCACAGTGAGCCCCTTGAAGGCAGAGAATAGCTGTTACACTTTGTGGCCCTAGTTCCTATCATCAAGGTGAATACGAAAGAGGAAGGGAAAGAGGAAAGAAAAAATGATGAGAAGGAGGGAGGTTCTTGAAGTAAAATGAATACTTTGTTTTTCCATTACTAGGTGTTAGTATAAACCACATCCAACCACTTGGTCGCTCATTATGACTAACAGTGTGCATTAACAAGATGGGTAATGCATGCCATCTGCAATGGTAGAATAGAATAAAATTAATTAGCCCACATGGGGATAAAACCTGTTACACTACCCTCATTAGCACCATGCTCTAATCAACCAAACTAACCAATCTTGAAATCAAATGCCAAATTTTTGACAATCCACAATGACTAATAATCAGCAAACCTACTGCAGAGAGCCTTAGTAAAATAGAGGAAATTCCACCATTTTACTCATTCCTTAACTGTTTACTGTGGACAACAAATAACCTGTTTGCAATCCTTAATGCATCATGATCACTGTAAGAAAGGACAGAGCCTACTAATTGCATGAAGAGGATATTCCCCTTCTCTCTTTAATGTCAGATGTCATGTAAAAGGATTTGTTTTGCATTTAACTCTGGTTACTGAATCAGTGTGATAGATCAGCCTTACAGGATAATATAATCTAAAATTTTGATATATGGTCATGTTCACAAGTAACAAATATAAAAGAAAAATCATAAGATACCTGGGCCCACAATGACTTATCCTGGGCTGATAGTGAACAAGGCTGATTTGATTCATTTCCCTGCCAGAAGGAAGGAATACCCCATAAAAACACAAATGAGAGTAGGCTGGTAAGTGGTGGGTGTTTATTTTGCAATACTGGTAGCAAAGAGAAGCAAAGCCAACAAACAGCAGTAAAATGAAACCAGGTGATTCTTACTTGTAGAGGTCAGGTTGAGGCTGTTCACATTCAATTGCTGCTCGGAGGGTATCAATGGATTCTGCTGTACACAGTGCAACGGTATCACGTACTGCATAATGTGTCTAATTGAAAGCAGAAGAAAAAGTAAAAACGAAAGAAACTGTTTCTTTTCATAATCATACACCCAACTGATTCCAAGAACAAATTCAGTATGTTTTAGTAAGAGGCTTTGGCAGAATAAACAAATATTAACATTTCCCACTATATAAGTTTTATGGTATTATCAAAATATATTACAAATAATTAGAAAGATAACCTGCTGCAAGGGGGTTTCAAAGACAAAAACATAAAAGCTCTTCTTGACACTGACGGCTGAGAGGATTCTATTTGCAAGATGCATATAATTAACTGAAACCCCAGGAAAAATTTAAAACATTTATATTTTTCCTATTTACAGAACTGAGACTTCTTATTTTGCTCACTATAGTGTATGGCAATCAAGATATACACATATGAATTGAACATAACCTTTGTGGTCATAAAAATACTAAAATTTTGCCAACAGCAAGAAAAAATCATTAATAGTTCCATTACACAAATAGTTTAATTAATTATCTTGAAAATGTTCAACATGGATACATTTTGTACGAGGGGCAGGGAGATGATGTGTCTTGCATTAGTAAGATAATTAGAATATTCTACCTGTGTATACCATGCACTTGATTCATCCAGAACTCAAAGCAGGCTCCAATGAACCCATTTATGTATCATCAAACAAGGGCTAAGCAGACTCAAAGAGTGCACCACTTACACAGAAGGGAAAGCTGTTGCTGCCATCTTGGGGGAATATTACGGCAATGTCTACATTATACTTAAAACCATCTCCTGATTTTGAAAACCTCTGTACTTTTATTTACTTTATTTTTATTTTTATAAAACCTCTGTACTTTTAGCTGATTTGACCAGATCAACTTAACTGAAAAAAGAAACTACCTGCAAGTTTTCTTCCTTTCAACAACTTTTTCACTATTGGGAAATCTTCTTGATTTATATCTTGACATTCCCTAAATTATAACCTCACTTTTGAAAAGGTTGAAAGCAGGTCATTACCATGATTTTGAAATAGAGAATTAGTCATTCAACAGGTAAAGTTTCTCTTTTAAATGCTGAGACTTAGTCCTCAACTCCAGATAGAATAAACAAGCAGAGGAACCCTCCAAAGATATACCCAGAGGTGAGCCACACGAGTAACCGTCCTTGAAGGCAGCATAGAGAGGATACATCTTCATGCCCTGTGGAGCTCTGGATAATGGCCAAGGAAACCGACTGTGCCAGAAAGTATGAGGGAAGTTAAGTTACCCTCGTTTGACCAAATTTACTTTAAGTCATTTGTAATTATTAGTGAGTTATAATTTCTTATACATACATAAAATGTTGCTTCATTACTTATAAAGGAAACATTTGCCAAACTACACCCTATTTTTATTTTTATTTTTTGAGACAGAGGCTCGCCCTGTCGCCCAGGCTGGAGTGCAGTGATAAGGTATTGGCTCATTGCAACCTCTGCTTTCTGAGCTAAAGCAATTCTCGTGCCTCAGCCTCCCGAGTAGCTGGGATTACAGGTACCCACCACCACGCCTGGCTAATATTTTTGTATTTTTAGTAGAGACGGGTTTCACCATGTTGCCAGGCTGGTTTTTGAACTGCTGACATAAAATGATACATCTGCCTCAGCCTTCCAAAGTGCTAGGATTATAGGCATGAGCAACTGTGCCTGGCCCTAAGTTATTTTCAAATAGCAATCAAATTACTCCAGGTTAGATTCTTATATTCCAAGAATCTACATTTTTAATGAAAATATACAACATTTTAGGGGAAAAAAAAAGATCAAATTGTAAGGTTAGCACACATGAAGTTATTTGTAGAATTACATAGGTAAAGCCTATGATTACTCCCATTTTAAAGAGTCTAAATATTAAACAGGCTGTGTCAATATTAAATTCAATCAGTGCCATAAAAATTGTAGTAACTTTTACTTGGGGCTCAGTTTTTCTACCTAATACCACCCTTTTATCCAAAGATGAGTGTTTGCTTAGAAGTTAAAAGACAATTACATAACAACTGTTGGCCAGGCACAGTGGTCACACCTGCAATCCCAGCACTTTGGGAGGCTGACGCGGGCAGATCAAAAGGTCAGGAGTTCAAGACCACCGTGGCTAACATGGTAAAATCCCGTCTCTACTAAAATTATAAAAATTAGCCGGGCATGGTGGTGGGCGCCTGTATTCCCAGCTACTTGGGAGGCTGAGGCAGGAGAAACACTTGAACCCAGGAGGCAGAGGTTGCAGTGAGCCGAGACCGTGCCACCGTATTCCAGCCTAGGTGACACAGCAACTCTCTGTCTCAAAAGATGAAGAAGAAAAAGAAGCTGTTTTGAAATACAAAACCTGCATCAATAAGAAAACAGTATAAGATCAGGGGGTGGTGAGAGGCAGTACTGTTTGATTAACTATCCTGAGATCAAAATGTTTAGGCAAGGTTTAATCTCTGTTACCTTGCAATTGGATTCCCCATCAAGACTGGCTGTAGTGACATAACAGGTTCCATCAGTGGTGCAAGATGATAGAAGAATAAGATCACAGGGAAAGGTTTCATCTGCCTGTACTTCGACTACATCACCAACCTAGAATTGAGAGAGAAATAAATATAAATATTTTAAATTCTAAACCAAGCATTCATTATACTCACACAAAAGTTAAAACATTAGCAAGAGGTTACCTCTAGCTCTGGAGCTTTGAGAGTATCTCAGCATTCTACATCATGTGAAAGGTGAGTATTACTCGACATTCAGAGTTCTCTTTAAGGTCAGAGGGACTTAGGACGCTTTCAGATTACCTTAGCACTGACCTTTACCTTCAGTAAATGATTCTGACACCCGTTTGCTCTCTGATATTTCTTGCACAAATGTTTGATAAGACAATGACATTATCACTTCATGAATGAATCAAGAAAACCTCCATGTCACAAACTGGACACTTCATGAACACTGAGCAGCTACACTCCCACTCTGTACCATGCCTATTTCAACATACTTTACCTGCCATGTGATAACTGTGTTGTTGCGTGTCAGGTCCTTCTTCAGTGTTCAGAATATCTCGGTTAATTAGAGAGGCATTGATTTTTCCCATAATATTTGAATTGTTTTTTCTATAGCTCACTTTCTATGAATTCATCTGCTGTCAGGAGAATCATTTAATATAGCAATAAGAAACAATTTCCTATCACCAAGTACCCAAAGCTCAAGGAGAAGAAAAACATGAGAGAAAAAATCATAAATAATTTAATCGTATAGAGAGTAATCATAACCATTAAAAGTTTGGACCATTTAACCTGACTTCTTGTCCCAGCTCTGCCACTTAACTATATGACCTTAAATAAGTGTCTTAGAGGACAGCAACTATCTCAGAGAATTGATGTGAGCATGAAATGATGATACAAGAAAAGTATTAAGCAAAGTGTCTGGCATATATTAACCACTTCGAAGGTGTTAATTATAATTATTACTAACATCCTGCAACTACTTTACTCCCAATTTATAAATAGTCATAACATTTTTTTGGAAAGATGTAAGAAATCCTCCAGTCTGGTGCTTCCCAAGATTTTCACACCATGGTACATACTGAAAATTATAAATAGTACCTTTGTACAGCGCCTTCAGGTAAAGGGAAGAGGCTGCTGGATACAGAAGATAACCCACTTTAGAAGGGAGTCAGTATTTGGCACACTGACCTAGACACATTGACTCTGAAATGCTAAGTAATACAGGCAACACCTGAATTCTATTTGCAATATGATTTGGCAAATAAAGATGAGGATTTCAAGACGTATTCAGGAACAATTCTATTTTCTTTGTCAATCTTAATCACTAGCCAAGATCAACAGCATCAATAATTGAACTAATTTGTAAATAATATTTTATTTTGTTGGATTGTTCCTTCCTCACTTACATAAACACTTATGTTGCTTACATAAAACCACAATCGATGCTTAAATATGTAGAAGGGAGATAACAAACAGAATCTTAACACATCTTAGAAGTAGGAAATACTCATTAGAGGTTGGAAGATGCCTCTCAGGCACTGACAAAACACACAAAGGGAGCATTTTTTTCTTCAACAGTTAGGATGTACTCAGATATGAAATATAAAGACCCCTACATCTGCAGTACAAGCTGAGACTGATGAGATGGGTAGCAGTCAGATAACAAAGGGCTTGGCAGGCCAGCCCAAAGGATTCAGGCCTCACCCTAAAGATAAAAGGATAACTACAGGACTTTTAAAGACAGGGAATAACATGATCTAGTTAGACAATGAACTCCAGAGTTCTATTTACCATTTTAAAAACCACAAGAGAACATCACCTCCCATTACAAACATTAGGAAAAAATGGATAATCTCAAAATAATATGTATTTTTTTAGTCCATCAGAGAGCTGAGGTTGCAAAGCAACCAAGTGAACTGAATTTCAAAGGGTAACAAGTGTTTCTGAGGAGAGATAGGATAGATGAACTGTTTCATAACTTACCAAGCATAGAAGGAAGAGATGGTTACCATGAAAGTGGGTAAGAAGAAGAAAACTAGATTTTTAACCAATTCTTAAAGACTGGGTGTGAGCTAGTATGACAGTTTAGAATCTCTACAAGCCTGAGACAAGAGACCATAACCATTTACCAGCTCTTCTCTAGAGGCTACTACTGAGCGTTCATGTGAAAGCATACAGGCAGCAGACCTAAAAGAACCTTTCTCACTGGCACAAGCATACAGTGGTGACTGAGTGCTGTGAAGAGACAGGCACAAAAAGCATGCCAGAATCATGGACCCCTTTCTCATATTAAGCAAATGCCATTTGCATCTAGGAGGAAGGCAGGAAACCTTCCCTGGCATAGTCTTAGGGAAACATCACTACTGTTAGAGGAGAGGTAGAAACAAAAGTGACCTGCTACAGGGGATGGGACCTGCTACAGGAAATGGGAAAGGAAACCTACTGGTACCAAGAACCTGGCACTGATACAAGGTAGATGTTCATCTGGTATCAGGGGTGGGGTGGGAATACTGAGAAAGTCTTACCCTGAGGCTTTGGTGCATATAGCTTGCTTAATATTGGGATTGGAACCAGAAAATCAAGAAACCCATTCTGTTCCAACCAAGAGCCTTACACTGAGTTACAAACAAGAAATAGCAGTGTACCACTGGAGAAAAAGCAAGGGAACAGGGGGAGGTACCCTCTGTGACTCAGGAGTACAGGATGTGCTGAAAGCAGAGAGTAGAACAGGAAAACCATAAAAAACTCTCTGGCACACCAGACCCCACACAAAGCTCAAGGTAATGGCATTCTACCACTTAAGGAATTTGAAGTTAAGTGGCACACTAAAAGCATCAAAAACCAAAGCCAGCCCAACTCTTGACTTGATTGACTCAACCCCCAATACCAGTGGCATGACAGAAGAAGCCAGGCCCATTTCAGAACACATATACCACTGATCTCAGTGAATACCATTCTTTTACATACAATGCCCAAAAGTCAATTAAAAAATGAGATGCACAAAAACACAAGCAAAAAATGAGCCATCATTGAAAGATAAAGCAGTTCATGAAACCAGACCCAAAATGTCCAGATTTTGGAGTTATGAAACAGAGACTTAAAAATAGCTATGATTAAAATGTTAAATGGGTGGGGTGTGGTGGCACACATCTATATTCCCAGCACTTTGGAAGGCCAAGGTGGAAGGATCGCTTAAGGCCAGGAGTTTGAGAGCAGCCTAGGCAACTTAACAGGACCCCTTCTCTACAAAAAAAAAAAAAAAAAAAAAAAAAAAAGACAATAATAACTAGCCAAGTGTAGTCGCACACCTACAAATCCAGGTCAGCTGAAGATAGAGGTGGGAGGACTGCCTGAACCCAAGAGTTCAAGGCTGTAGTACGCTATGATTGCGCCACTGCACTCCAGCCTGGGTGACAGAATAAAACCCATGTATTTAAAAAAACAAAAAGATGTTAAATGGTATGGTATTTAGTGGAAAAGGTAGACAACATATAAGAGTGGATGAAGAATGCTGGTGGAGAGATGAGCAATATAAAAAAAGGAAAATGTAAAGTTAGAAATGAAAAACATTATCAGAGATGAAGGTTTCCTTCAACTAGTAGACAGGGTACAACAAAGAAAGTAATCATCAATTATGAAGACAGAGCAACTAAAATTATCCAAAGTGATATATAAACTGGAGAAAAATGAGCGTATTTAATTACTCAAGGGAGAAAATATCAAGCAGTATAACAGTCATGTAATTGGAGTGCCAGAACAAGAGAGAGAATGAGGCTGAAAAAAATTTGAAAAAGATAATGACCAAGAATTATCCAAAGTTAATCAAAGCCAACAAACAATAGATCCAAGAAAACTTCAAGAAGGATATCTATGATGAAAAAAATGCTGGCATATCATAGTCAAACTGCTGAAAACCGAAAATGAAAAATGTGAGGGCGTCAAAGAAACATTATATACACAAGAACAAGAACAGAAATGAAACAGACTTATTAGAAACTATGCAAACCAGAAGACAATGGCATAATATCTTTAAAGTACTGAAAGAAAAAAAAAAACCCTCTAACCAATAATTCTATAAACCCAGAAAAATAATCTTTATAACTGAAGATGAGATAAAAACTTTTCCAGAGGAACATTCACTTCTAGCAGATTTACATTATAAAATACTACAGGAAGTTCTTCATGGATAAAAAATAAGATACTATATGAAAATTTAAATCTAGATAGGGAAATGATAAAAATGTGGGTAAATATAAAATACAGTTCTTATTGTTAATCTTTTAAAAACAGTTTTAGGCCAGGCACGGTGGCTCATGCCTGTAATCCTAGCACTTTGGGAGGCTGAAGCAGGCGGATCACTTGGGGTCAGGGGTTTGAGACCAGCCTGGCCAATATGGTGAATCCCCGTCTCTACTAAAAATACAAAAATGAGCTGGGTGTGTTAGCGCATGCCTATAATCCCAGTTACTCGGGAGGCTGAGGCAGGAGAATCACTTGAACTCAGGAGGCAGAGGTTTCAGTGAGCTGAGATCCCACCACTGCACTCCATCCTGGGCAACAAAGCAAGACTATCTCAAAACAACAACAAACACACCAAACAGGCTGGGCGCAGTGGCTCACACCTGTAATCCCAGCACTTCGGGAGGCTGATGCACGCAGATTACCTGAGGTCAGGAGTTCCAGACCAGCCTGGCTAACATGGTAAAACCCTGTCCCTACTAAAAATACAAAAATTAGCTGGGTGTGGTTGCAGGTGCTTGTAATCCCGGCTACTTGGCAGGCTGAGACAGGGAGAATCGCTTAAACCCCAGAGGTGCAAGTTGCATTGAGCCGAGATTGCGCCACTGCACTCCAGTCTAGGAGACAGAGCAGACCCTGTCTCAAACAAACAAACACCAGTTTTAAAAAAGATAATTACAACCTAGCAATTCTGCTCCAAGTTATATACTCAAAAGAATCAAAGGCAAAAACTGTAACAGATACTTATGTACCAATGTTCACAGCAGCATTAATCAAAATAGTCAAAAGACAAATAACTCAAATGTCCATCAACATATAAATGGATAAACAAATTGTTATACA